TATGATGTTGTAATCTAATGTGTGTGTGTGTTATGTCAGAATGAGCATAATATTACGTAGTCAATACCGTCTTATATATACGTACATGTCTACATCGATCAACCGTTCTCTTTTTCTCTCTCTCTCTTTTTCCTTCTCTGTCTCCCTCTCAAGAACCTTGTACGATTAACATGAAGTGTGCGAAGCAACTTTCACAAAGAAATTCAACACTTATTTGATTTGATTTTATACTTTACATATCAATACAAAGTACAAAGATAAATGAATACAAACATTGCGGCTTTGTTCGAATTTGGTCCAATCTACTCTTGTCGTGGACTGTTTTAGATTGAAGAGTTATTTGGGTTAAAATTAGATAAAGATTTGATTGATATGTCATAGTTTAAACAGTTCTGCAGTATTCAAAGATTGGATGTTGCCGTATCCGCCAGTAATGAGTACTCTTCCATCATTTAATACACACGCTGCATGAAAAAATCGTGCTTCGTTCATATGATCGACATAGGTCCAAATTTCTGTGGATGGATCATACAGTTCTGCACTATCAAGCATGTATCCAGTGTATCCGCCGGTGACCAGTACTTTTCCATTCGTTAATAGGGATGTTGCAGAATACTGCCGTCTAATATTCAAACTTCCAGTATTTGACCAAATCCCGGTTGTCGGATCATATAACTCAGCACCATCAAATAGTTGAAAACCATTCCATCCAGCAACGACAAGTATTTTTCCATCTGTTAATAAGGATGCCGTATGAAAATATCGCGCATAATTCATGCGATTAGTATTTGTCCAAATTTCACTTGATGGGTCGTATACTTCAGCTGTATTTAAAGCATTTATGCCTTTACCACCAACTACTAACATTTTCCCGTTAGATAGCGTCGATATTGTGTGACTGTGTCGTGCATCATTCATAGTGCTTCTAATAGTCCAAGTGTTCGTTAATGGATCATATAGTTCCGTACTGTTCAGAACATCGTTCCCATCCCAACCTCCAGTAACCAAGACTTTTCCATTTGCTAATAGTGTCGATGTGTGCAAAGATCGTGCATAAGCCATATTTGCCACTATTGTCCAAGTTCCCGTGGTTGGATCGTATAGCTCAACACTATTCAATGGATTGCTATCTTGACCTCCGGTGACCAAAACTTTGCCATCGTTCAGTATGGATACTGCATGGTTTTGTCGAGCACTATTCATATTTGCCGTGACCATCCAAGTTTCAGTTGACGGATCGTACAACTCGACGCTACGTAGAATTGCAGCACGATTAGATCCACCAATAACTAGTACTCTGCCATCAGATAATACTGATGTCGTGTGTTCCTGTCGTCCCTGGTTCATACGAGCAGTATAAGACCATCCTAAAAGAAAGTATTGAAATCTTTGTTGAATTCTCATGAAAATGGTTCTTTTTATGCCATTATTTGTTTTTCACAAAAGAACTTGCCTGATTGTTTTAAAGTAGTTGTAATTTTTACTGTTGATGTTTGTATGCCTGTTGTTTGTGATTCTTTCGATGGCATTACTGCAGTTTCCGTCGTTGATACCAGCTTTGCCGATGTCAGTGACACAGGCATCGTTGTTGATTCCAATGTCGTCGACATTATTGTCGAGATTAACATTGTTGATTGGAATTCTACTGTGGCACTCGTTGTTATCAATTCCTTTATCGATGTGGTAATCATTGAAGGTACTACTGTTGTCGTTATTAATGTCTCTGTCGCTATTGAGATCGTAGTCGTTCCAGCTTTGTTCGGTGCTAGGATGACAAGTCCTAGTACTAGAGAGAAACTAATAATTGCTAGGATCAGGAAAGTGATTAGAACGATGCAAACGATCTTGAACCAACGACGATGCCAATATTTGCGTGTCCTACCATTCACTATCAAACCTTCAATATAGACTTGGTTATTGTGCATTTCGAAAGAGACTGAAATATGAAAAGAATGAGTTGTTTTTTCGAAACTGCTTCAGATCTTTATCTTTGTAGAGCAAATTTTACAGGTGAGTGCAACAGCATCGGACGGCACGATATTTAAAAACCTATCAGTGTTAACAATCTCTTCGAATCACAAATTTTTCTGCATATGAATCCGTCATTTCTTTATATTTTGTTCCTAATATTGGATCAAACAGTCGAATCTTCGACTGAAACTAGACAGCAATTTACCACTCACATCTTTGATACAGCTCCTTCCAAAATCGTCATCAGTCTATCTGATGTCAAAGTACCACATTCATAATCTTCGCATTTCACATCAAGCAAACCATACAAATTAGAATCGAAATCTGACTAACAAAATAACTATTTCCTCTGACAAATGGCATTCGAGTTTGATTGACACTTAATACTGTCTTTTGGAGTTTTAAGCTAGTCTACATCAGTGCTTCTCTTTATTTCATTACTTATCGTAATATTCTTATTTAACATTTACCTAAAAACTTATTCTTCAAATTTCTATCAGATATGAAATAGGGGTGGCACATTTAAGCTTATTTGAAATTAACGTAAACGGATTTCGTTAACCGTTAATATTAGCGTTAAATAATTGCGTTAATTAACTCAAATTAAATTCAATGGTCCACCCCTACATATGATCATTACGCAGTAAAAGTAAGAGAAGCCGATTGAATTAGAAAGATTTTCAATATTTTTAATCAAATGATTTCAAAGACTGGAAGTGACGAATGTGATGATAGCGAGATTTGTGTTTCAGAGTAATTGAAAATATGATGACGCGCTTACTATTCCTGAAAAATATCCGGCTCTTCGGAAAATATATTAACACGTTGAATAGTCATACAACTGTAGACTTAATATGATGGTGATAGAATCATTTGTTATTTTTTGCTTAACATATTCATAATAGTTCTACCATTTCAACACGTAACATTCACGAAATTATTTGCACTTGAAAAGTTTTCACCCTCATCAACATCGAAAGACACCAGTCCAAGCAATATCTGTTAAAATTTTCCAAAGAAGACATGCAGCAGATTTATCTGAACAGATTTAATGAGTAAATTCAACTTTTTCCTACTGCCTGTACAATGTATCATTCACTAACAGAATATATCACCTAATGTGATGTCGACTTTGCACTCAGCCCATGTTCAACTTAACATCGAATGAAAATAAGTTCGTAAACGTTTAATCAAGTCCACTCACAAGTCACATTATAGCGAAGTTACAGTTCATTATATATCAAGTTCGTACATTTTAGATAGGAATCAAGCAAGAGAAGTAGCGGGCGTCATTAAGTGTTCTTCGTGTATCATCTATTGGCTACGAATCGATACAAATGAAGATCCGGTAATCTTTTATCAATGTGAATATCGAATCGATTCTTCATCAGCGCTCTCTGATTCGTTACTTCCACATGTATTTTACGTGTGCAAATAAGTTAGAATAACATCTCATCCGCACACTCTGAACGAATAAATCCTGAAAGAACGCATACAACAAGACACTAGTAAATAAGATAACAAAAAAAAAGCGGTATTCATATCTTTAAAAATCAATAGTAGTATAATCATTAACAGAATACAAATTTCTTTTTCTCTCATAACGGGGAACAATTACGAAGAATCTTTTTCTACAAGTAACTGTGACATACTAATCGCCCATTCATATGTATAGAGATCGTCCGTTAGTTAGGATGAAATGTTAAGACGAGGAATAATTATAGCAAAATCTCTCATCCATATCGTATTTCACATTTCAATCGTCAAAGAATTGTTCTACAATTGCTCTTTTTTTCGAAAATAAGGTTACTCCTTTTCCACGCATATTTCCGTGTTATTCGTTGATAAACGTGTATATAAGGTAGAAACATTCCTGTAGGACAATCATTTACACACTTTCAGTGTATTTACCTACTATTTTTCGTTGAACCATCGAACAACAGCAAAAGACAATGGAAAAGAAACAATCAATTGGTTTGTTTGATCGTTTTCTTGATGTCGATAAACATGTGCATCATTTAAGCAAGAAACGTGAACTTGGTTGTAATTGTTTTTCCGGTTGGTCTTGTCATAACACTCTTTATTACAATGCTGCTTGTGGCTGTATGATTTGTGGTAGTGGCCCTGTTACGGTTTCACAGGGTGCTACCACTGCTTCTCGTTGTGATAAAAATTTGTATTAACCGCCGTGAGACTACTAGTGGTCTTTGTCCTACTTGTTATTCTGGTGCTGACAAATATCCTGGTGGTTTTACTGGCGCGTCTTGTGATGGGTATTTTTCTGGTAATACTTGTGCTTGTGGTTATCAAGATACTAATCCTATTACTATTGGGAATGGTTGTGTCTGTTTTGTTTGTGGCTAATAAAACAAGAAGCTATCTAGTTTCCTTCTTTCAACATTCTCAACTATTCTTTTTTTTTTATTCCGAGGATAAGGCTTTTTTGTCAATCAAAATGAGATCAGCCTATCTTCTAAATAAATTTTACCAGTAAATCCATTTTTTTTAGTTTTTCAACAATCATTCTCTTTCCAACATAAATATTTTCCACTTAACTTTATATTGTAAACGTACTGCACTTGCAGTTGTGTACTGAAATAATACAGAGACATTATCTTAATGTAAAACTAGTAGGAGCTAGGTTAAGCACAATTAGAAGTTATACTTAAGATCTCATAAATGTATATTATCTATCGATTTGGTTGAACACGTATCTGCTTTGCATACTCGTTACTGAATCATCAATGCATTCGAACGTCACGCCTCAATAGATAGCGTGTAAGGTTAGCAAGCAGAATGGTAGTTTAGAGCAAGACGACATCACCAAAATGATGAAAAACAACGACAATGATTATGATGTAGATGAAATTCTGCAAGGAGTTTCAAACACTTTAACCGTTACTATTGATTTACTCTTATTTCCAAATTATGTAAATCTATTCACAATACATCTACTACGTCGCATTTATGCCGAGAGAAAACAAAAGAAGAAATAGCAATGAACATAGACGGACTGACGAAAGATATTTCTTCTTTTTTCCTATTCTTATTTTTCAAACGCATGTATAGAAATTTCTACATATACATAAACACACACATGATCGCCTGCTCGTTCTATCCATACATGAATACATATCAGTCAGTTAGCTAGTGGCCGTCTATCGTGAACAATATGTATGACTGTTCTCTTGCTTTTACGTCATACACCGGTAGCAACAAGACAAAATAGTTCATATTGACTGGTCGGTGTGTATTGAACGTCATCGGTCATCTGCATCTTCGAATAAAACAACACCGAGTGGAAAAGTATTAGTGTGCAAACAAGTGCGTAAGGAAATGCAGGTTGTAAATACAAAAACACAAACGACTACTACAAAACGAAATAACTCAATGTTATTTCAAGACGAGGAAGATCTTGGTATGTTTTCTATCATACAATGTATTTAAGAGTGACGTATTTTGTCTTTAGACTTACCTTCATCACCGATGTCAGTTGGTTTAAGTTCTAAACTTCGTTCATTTCTATCTGCTCGTCATTGTTGTGATTGTCGTTTGGTTTATACGTGCAACGGTTTATCATCCTCTGTCCTATGTCATCGTCTTGTTTTGAGCGCATCATCAATCTATTTTCGTTTATTTTTCAAATACAATCAACCTGAGTCAACCTATGATTCTAGTCAACAATGTTATTTGAATGAATATCATTGCACATTTAATTTCACAGAAAAAACTCTATTAACATGCATCGATCTATTATATTCTGATGAAAATCTACAACAAAGTCCACAACAATTATTGTTTTATGATGATCTATTAAACGGTATGATGTTTCTCGGTTTACCAGATGAATACTTCGTTAAAATTTTAACTTTATTACGCACCAAGTTACTATCACTTACAGGTGATGTGGAAAAACGTCACCTAATCTCCTGTGTCGCGAAGTCACAGTTGAATGAAAAATTTAAAAAAGCATTTCTCGCACGTTCTCTATGCTTAATAGAAGATCCAACAGATTTAACCTATGGAATCAAACACATATATAGTACGTAGATCGAAATATATTATTCCGTTCTTAACCTTTTATCTGTCGTAGTTGATGATCGCTCATATTATGATCCAAATCGGCATACAATTATATTGAATGGTCGAAAAGACAACAAACTAGCTTATAAAGGTTTGATATTTCAAGCTAACGCGCAATTCTCAACTGATTGTGCTTCGTTTTGGTTCACTTGCCAACGTGCTTTTCGTTCATTCAATACGATACGCGCTCGACAAGCAACACTCTATGTATACGATGGTATTAGTCAAACAATTGTTGAACGTATCCCAAATCCAGATTGTAAACAAATGGGTTATCAACTACGATTGCCACGTGGAAAATTGGTCTTGAGCAATTTCATTATGAATTGTTATCAAGTAGTTATTAAACAATCTTTTCCATTGAGTGAACATGTTGCATTTAATTTTGTTATTGAATTAATGAGAGATTGAAATGAAGTGTTCGTATCGTTCCTCTCGAAATGTCTTGTATCAAGACGATGTGAGAAATTTTTCTGTCTTTTTTTTTGTCTCGTCTGATATCTGTTTATGCACATTGTATAAATCGTGTACGATTGAATCTTCGATTTCAATGAATTGTTTTTCTTTCTTGGGTCAATAAATTGGATTGGAAATGAAAATGTCTCATTAACATTAACTATTCTACTTGTTAGTACTCTCTGCTGAAATTCCGACGAACTTTATATTGGTTACTGGACATGCAATCGCAAGGCAGATGGAACTAGCGCCATGCTGTAAATTAATTGGTGAGGTAAGTAGGCGACATCTCTCCAACTTGGAGGTCGTTCTTTATTTACTATTGGTGGTTTATATATTTAACATGAAAAGGTAAATAAACAAAACATCCACCTTGCCTTTCGTCTATTGAGTTCTACTAGATTTTCTTTTTACATGATATTGTTCGTTTAAATCTTATTATTCTTAATTGTGATGACATATTTCAATTTATAAGAGAGTTTTTTAATGAATACAATGATGTTTGTGTTTCTATTGTAGTTGATATTGAACGATATATTGCTAAAGTTGTATCAGATGTCGCAGGCGAACAACCGTGGTGGCGGCAACAAGCGGTCGCGTATCTCTTCATCAGGCGCCTATCGTCAACGTGAGAACCAGTCGACATCGTCGTCGACAAATGTCGCTCAAACTCAATCGGGTCTAATTATTGATAATGAAACTGAACAATCATCCGAAGGAATCAAAGAGCAATTGAACAGTGTTGAGGATATCATCACACAACCTATTATTGAAGTTCCAACAAAACGTTTATTGCACTTAAAAGAACTTGGTGGAAATCTTTTTGTCTCATCGTCAACGAAAATCTATTCGAAAACGTTACAAAAACTATTCGATCGAGTCCTATTCACAAAATCATTAAACAATGACGTGAATACAGCACCATCTGATTTGCGTGTCTTCGAGCGTGTTTTGGCACGTTCCGATGACAACGACGCTTATTCGACATGCACATCATTGGCACAACCAGTACCAGCGACAATACTTGTGCTTGGCTCAACTGCATGCGAACATGCGCTTGTATGGAAGTTATTACAGCGAAGAAATTTCAAAATCTTTATATCACCTGGTAATAGTGGCACAACAATCGATCAATCAACAGGATCAATTTCGACGGTTTTCCAAAACGAAAAAGATCTTTTAGAATATGTCGATTCCAAACAAATTGATCTAGTTATATCGTTAAATAAGACATTTTATTTTGAAGAACTTGAAGCACGTCTTTGTGAACATGGCTTACATTACTTAGGATGTTCTGTTGATACATTAGTGTTAACTGATAATCAATTAAATGCCAAGCAATTTATGAGTAAACATAAAATTCCCACATTAGAGTGGACACATTGTTTGAATGAAGAAGATGCTCGGTCATTTATCAATAAGTAAGCATATCGAAGATAGTAAATATTTGGTAAATTTCCTTCCTCTCCATTAGATCTCCAAATCAACAACAATGGATAATTCGTGGAACACATGGTAATGGTATAATCAACTGTAAAAGTCCAGACGAGGCAATGCAAACGATCAAAGCTGTTTTCGATGTAAAAATGAAACAAACAATCTTGACCTCGGATCGATCAACTGACTTGTTTGTTTTCTAGGATCATATCTTTGGTAAACTAAATCAATCCGTCGTCGTCGAGCATGGTTATTCAGCAGACGATCATCAAGTTTGTATTTTATACATTGTAAGTGATGGCGATGGTGACTATACTCAATTGCCAATAATACAATCTGATCCATTACGAATGGGTGCTTATGGTCCATGTCCATATTTAACATCAAAACAATTATCCTATGTTCGTCGTCGTATTGTTGAACGTACACTTCGATGTTCACCAACGATTCGTCATTTGTTTGGTTTTCGTTTATTGATTCAAGGATCGAATTACAATCAAGTCTGTCTACTTGACTATGTATCCACATTTGAAGAACCCGAAGCAGAGATTATCTTGTCATTATGCGAACCCGATGTGCTTCTTCAATATGCATTAGATTTACCGTCGGTTCCGATCATACCTTTGACAAGCAAAAAGCGTCGTGTTCACTGTGTGAATACAACTATAACATCAACGAAATCGTCTTTAACTATTTCGAACAAAGTTCTATCGACCGCAACGAAAAATAACAAAGTGAAAATCTTTCACAATCAGACAGATGTGAATGTTAACAATAATGGAACAGGTGAAACAAGTTTCATAACAACAAGCGGTGAACGAATCTTCAACGTGCTTGGTTATGGTTCGACCTTACAGGAAGCACAAATTCAATCGGTACTTGCCTGTGAATATATCAAACAGCATGCTAATGTTGACGGTCTCTTTTTTAAATCGGATATTGGTGCACAAGCGATTGAATGGTATAAGACGCGTGTTAATCGCAATCACTCGTCAACTGATGGTTTAACCAATGGTAAAAAGAAGAAGGTGAAAAAGAAAATCTCGCTTCTATCGGGATCGAATAAACGAAATCGCAATTCGACAAATCGTCGTCGTAACACGAAAAATTCCGAACAAGATAAAGACAATTACAATGAAGAGAATGAAACTAGTGATGATAATGATGAGGATGAAGATGAAGATGACGACGCTGAACCGATGGATTTCGAACGAGCATTTGGCACCGTATCCGACACGCCGAAATTGGAACATATGGATATCTATCAAAATAATGGTACATTCGATGATCATAATGTTCATGAAGGTGAAACATATTTTGATTTGTCAAGCAAAATCGATCTGAAAACCTATAAGCAACCTGTTCTCGTATCGTCAACAATCAATTTGAATCCATTAGCAGCATTATTCAATTTAAATGATAGCGATATGAGTGATTGTCAAACTGTTTTCGAATATCTTGGTCACGAACTCACTGTTCGATGTGCGAATGATCTTGTTTGTGCTCGTACACTTTACATTCAATGTTGCTCTTCACCAATATCATCACGCCGTTCAATTCAACGTTTCTATCAAGGAATCGAACAAGCGTGTCAACAACTTGATTGTACACTTCTTAAAACAACCAGTTCTGCTATATCATCATCATCGTTCAGTTCATTATGTACAGGTCTATGTGATAGAGAATTTACTACACTGAATAATACAAATCATCCAACAATTAACGAAGGTGATTTCTTAGTGGCTATTCGAAGTAGTTCGGGTACAGTTAATACGCAAGGCTATGTACAGTTAAAAGAGTTATTCCAAAAGAAAAATATTCATTTGAACGATACGGTACCTTTTCGAACTGCTGATGGTGAAGAAGAGTCTTTTTTCTCGTTATTGCTACAAAAATCATCCGTGTTAGCATCGTCACTAACTAAGACCATTGGTGAACTGATTAGAAATCGAACGATCAAAGCAGTTCGTTATCTCAAAGGTATGTAGCTTAGCTTTGGATTAATAAAAATCCTATCTACTTATTCATTTAGATATTGGTTTGGCTCGTATGATTGAATCTCTACTTGGTCCATTCATATCAACATTGAATATTGACTTAAATGGTCAACAATGGCCTGTAATGCCACCACTTTTTACTTGGATCTATCAACATGTAAGATTAATCGTGCTTTCTTGTTCGTACAATTCAATTCTCTTCTTTTCAGAGTGGTTTTAGTCAAGATGAAATGTTCGAATATTTTAACTGTGGTGTCGACTATATGCTTCTTGTTGATCATACAAAAATTACTACCGAAGATCTTCTTCGTCATCTAACTGAAACACATACGTCAAGTTTTTATCTAGGAACATTTATGTCAATAAGTAAGTTGAAATTCGAAATGTTGTTTTATCTATGTTTCGATGTTTTCTTCTTAGATCCAGCTCCAACACGTAAACCAATTCGTACACCGCAACAACCAATTGTCACTCCACCACAACCACGTACTGTTCAGTTGAAAAATATTTCTTTCAAATATCCGAAACCGTATCAAACAGCTGGTGCATTAACAAACAATAGTGCACCTGTCGTAATCAAAGATCGAATGAAACAACCGATTGCAAATGACAAAACACGTTGTGCTGTACTTATCTCTAACAATGGTAAACCAATCTCGAGACAATATGACGATTTCTATATCTGCTCGTTTTTTTTAGACACTTCCTTACTTTCACTTCTTGCTTATAGTACATCAACACTTGAATGTGCATTCGAGATCGTTCTTGTACTTTCAACAGTAGCTGGCCTATCAGATATTGCTCGCGTGAATGAATTACATCCCTCCGTGGTCACCAAAGTGATTCAACCGAAGAAATACGCTGCTCGACATTACGATTTGGTAAATAGTTCATTTGAATTCCTTTCATTACATAGAAGTTTTACTTCTTTTTCATCGTTCAGGATCAAAAAGTGGACGACGAATTACAACTACATGGCTGTGAATTAGTTATTCTCGATCGTTATACATGTCGTTTATCACATTCGTTTATTATGGCGTGGCGTGGACGTTTGTTAAGTATCTATCCATCGTTGTTACCATCATTTCGTCATAGTAGTTCGCCAATTCGTGATGCTTTACAAACAGGTGTACGTATAACAGGTGTGACAGTTCATTTTATTGGTGAATCAGATACGGACAACGATGGACCTATCATTGCCCAGGAAAGTTTATCTGTGGCACCGATCGAAACGGAAATGCAACTGGAAAATCGTCTGCGTACACTCGAACAACAATTGTATCCGAAAGCAATTGATTTAGTGGCGTCAGGAAAGATTGTCTATCAGGGTAAACGACGCATGAGTAAAATCAATTCAACTACGTCAATTACACCTTCATCTTATTAAATAAACTTTTGTTTTTGTCTGTACATTGGATTCTATACCATTATATGTTTCTGCGCTATTTGTTTCCTGGAATAGCCTGATTCTTTTTGTCTTTTCCCTCTTTTTGTTTTTGTAGTCTTGTCGTCTTGTTTAAGAAAAAAAGTCCAAACGAAATATATATATGTATATGTATACAGTCATGAACAAAGTACAAACTGTGTTTGTTTGTTAATCATGTTCAATAGCACGAACGAAGACAAAGCATCTTTCAACTGTTCGCATGTGAACGAGCGAGAGATTCTTTCAGGTGTTGTTTTAGCTGTTAATTGATCGTCCAAACAAGTGTCAGTTGAATGTAATTCTATCTGAGACGAAGAAAAAAAAATACTAATTGACTTTATCACCCCCTCTTTCTCTTATCTAAACTATAAAACAAGCACTCTTTTATGTGTATTGTTTTCAAATCGAGTTAATCATTGTCGGACAGTCTGTCTTCAAATGTTGAGAGCATTTCTTTTGTCGATAGATTAATTGAAAGAAGAGCGCAACATATCATATATTGCATCACGTTTCTTATCAATCTGTTGCCTACGTATACTTTTGCATTTCTCTTTATTTTATTCACTCGAGAAGTTGTTTCACGACAAGCATCGTGTACCCATTCGTTAACAACAAACAATGACCGTATCGATTCGTCTCAGCTTGCTATTGATCCTGATTCTAGCTACACTCGTTAGTCAAACGAACGGTAAAGTCATCTGAGAGAAAAGTCGTCGATTCGGAGAAAATCAACTTTGGATACTTTTCTAGGTTTCCTGTTTGGTCAATGGTGTTTAGGTGCGCATCAAGAATATTTAAGATGCGGTTCCGCCTGTCCACTTTCATGCGCTGATGTTCGATATGCAAGATATTTTAAACCATGCACGTATCAATGTGTTCAAGGCTGTTTCTGTAAACGTGGTTATGCGCGTCGTACTCATTCGAAAAGTCAATGCATTCCTGACTGGCGTTGTTAATGAGATTAACAATTTTACATTAGAATGTATTTTTTTTGTACATATGGGTAAAAAAATATGATTAGTCAGAATACTGTCTTAGATATGATAATAATAATAATAAAAAAAAGAAATACTAATTAACTTTGTATATAAATAATTTTGATAACATTGATTTGCGTCAAATCGTAAGGGAACAATGGAGCTATCAAGGACGAAATGATTTACCTTGATCTAATACATTCAGTCAAGTAGGACTATGACGATTTTAGAAAACCGGTTTTAGACAATACCGAAAAATGATATGCGTAATAATCATTCGATTGACTTTTGTTCGATAAGCAATCGATACGAAACGCATTAATATATTTATGAAACGATGATTTTGCATTGCTGGTTACTTCTCATAAATGTACTTAACGTTCAAAGGTTCATACTAATGTACGCTTTCGATTCTGTTTTTCTTCTCGATATACAAAGACACATCTGTCTAAGATTTGATCTTAAAATCAATATGAACATAGTTCAATAGCGTGTTAATGGATTGATTCGATTATCTGCGTATCGTACGATCATCAATAAGATAAGAAACATTATGTCGCTCGAGGGATGACTTTTTCGTTTCTTTCCGAAACAAAATCATCAGTTACATTAAACTATAGACGACGAGGAACATTCTTTACCATTCTGTATATCGTTACGCTTCATGTTCGTGCGAATATAAATTCAGATTGTCTATGAACTGACAAGACATAAATCGTCGAATGTACCTTTCTTCTCACACACGTTTCTAATATCATGTCGAACACGGATGAAAGCCCGCACACGACTCTCTCAATGGATGTTTCCTCGCAGCCAGCGATCATTAATACAGTAGCTGTTGCTCTGCCACAACAGCAGCCTCGTCCTCTAAGGCGTAAGATTAGTCATCAATCAACACCAGTGTTTTCTTCGTTTTTGCGAACACCCTCAGGAAGCAATGGTGGATTTTTCAACAAGTTCGTGTTCTTGCCGAAAGAGTGTTTATTTGATTTGAACGGATGTTTATTTTTTCAGTTTAATCCAACGAACCATTTCGAATCGGCAAAGAGCCGAAATTCAACTGCAAAGTTTACTTAATGAACCTGAAGAATCTCTACCGGCATTTGCACGTCGTGCCAGTGACCATTTACCAAATGAGAATCTACCATTAGAAGAAGTGTCCAAATTACTCAATACTCAAACGTTTGTCATCGAACGACTTGTTAATGCTCTCTATTCGTCTACCGATGACGATGATAGTATAAAGACTTTGAGCAAGTGCGAAGTACGAAAGCTAACACGAGCGCTGAATAGTACGATGGACGTTCGCGCGCTTCTCTTTTTCATGATGCTCGACGAAGATGGTGATCGTTATATAACAAGTAATGAACTGGCATTTTTCTATGAGAAATATTTACAAGGTTTGAAAACATTCGATGCCAATCGTTTGCAAGAGGTTATCCAAGTGCTTCTAAAAAAGTTTCATCTCGATCAAGTAAAAAAGACAACTTTAATTGATATAAAAAAAGTGCAATCGAATGCATTTATTTTATTTTAGAAAACTCGAATTGATTTCGAAGAATTCTATTCAATTGTATCCAAAGATGCGACACTACTTGAATCTTTATCTCAATTTACTGTTCATCCAACATGGTTTATTAAAACACCCACTAATCCAACGGTCAAAGAAAGTAAAATTCAACGATTTTTTAGTCATCACTGCCATCAACAAGTCATATACGAAGCACGAAAAAATAGACTAACAATAGACTATATCAAGGATAATCTATCGAGTATCATCGTTTTCATTCTGTACATTTTGGTAAATCTAGCTTTGGCCATCTATGTTATTATTTATCGAATAACAGTGACCAGATCACATGCATTTGTTGTTGTTGCACGTATTGGTGGAATGTTGCTGAATTTCAATTGTGCACTTGTCATTACACTGATGCTTAAACAAACAATATTGATCATTCGTACGAATAGTTTTCTACGGAAGATCATTCCTGTTGATGATCATATTGACTTTCATAAAATCGTCGGACGATTTATTGCCGTTCTATCAATCGTACATACAATCGCACATATGGCTAACTTCGGAAGACTTACAGGTACGAATGATTTGCCTCACGACGAAAGATCTTTTCATTTTTCAATATTTAGATCATTCCTGGGGAACTTACATGGTACGTTTACTTGTCTTTTCTATAGAATGAACATCTCGGTTTCTTTAGTTTGCGACAAGACCTAATCTAGGTTGGGTTGGAGGCCTTGCGCCATTGACTGGTGTTATCTTATGTATCATCCTTGCTGTCATTGTTATTTGTTCCATGCAATGGATTCGTCGTGGTGGTCATTTTCAAGTAATTTTTATCTTCTGTTATCTTCAATTCTAACTGTTCTTTATATAGATTTTCTATTGGACACATTTACTATACTTTCCGTTTTTCATTCTTCTTATTTTGCACGCAGGAAACTTTTGGGTATGTTCAACATGGGTCTATGCGCGGAACTTTACAGGTGACTTTTTTTGTAGAAATGGATCGTGGGCCCATTATCTCTTTTCCTATTGGAAAAAACCTATTCAATTTTAACAAGATATTCTGTTCGAAGTGGCCGCACTTATCTTCATTCAGCAACTATCGAACAGTCGAATGTTATTAGTTTGAATATACATCGACCAAAAAATTTCACGTATGTTCTACTTGGCGACGTTCCTTTTCAGTTTTCTTGTGTGTGATTTCTAGTTTTCAACCAGGTGATTATATAAGTATCAATTTACCACGTGTTGCACTCTACGAATTCCATCCATTTACGATCAGTAGTGCACCTGAAGAAATGGGCAATCTTCGCGTACATATCCAAGCTGTTGGTAATTGGACGAAGCAGGTTTATCAACGTTTCAAAGAAATGTCTGAAGATGACGCTCGAGAAAATCACGTCAAAGTTTACCGTGCTGATCTTCATCCCGAACAATCGGTTGCAGATCTTCAAGCTATCAATAAAGATCACTGTGGTGATGATGATGGAAGTGAAGTATATGCAGGCAAATGTCGAATGAAATTCAAAAAACGAGAACCTGTGGTGATCAATGGACCTTATTCTTCATGTGCTCGTTACATATTCGACTGTAAACATGTTGTTTTGATTGGCGGTGGTATTGGTATCACACCATATGCATCGATATTATCAAGTCTCATGGCACAATTTCGTGCGTCGCGTGTTGTTTGTAAATACTGTAATGGAATCAATTACAATTCCAAAGGACTTGTCGAAAATCATCGTCTGAAAAAAGTCGATTTTATTTGGGTGAATCGAGACCAAAAGAATTTCGAATGGTTCCTCAATCTTCTTCGTCAATTTGAACAAGAACAAGAATATTATCTAGCGTCAAATTCTAATGAAAAGCGTTTTCTTGACATTCATTTATATTTCACAGAAATCAAGCATGATGAGAATATTGGTAATGTTCCATTAGATCTAGTGACTAAAATCTGGGCTCAAGTAGCTGGACAAGATATATTTACTAGTTTAAAATCGAAAACACATATCGGTCGACCGAAATGGGAAGATTTGTTTAGTAATTTAATCTCAGGCGAAAATGCCTCGACAGCAAATGATGTCGATGTTTTCTTCTGTGGACCATCAACTATGGCCCAAACAATTCGAAATCACTGTGCTACATTTCGATTTCGATTTTACGAAGAAAAATTTTGATTTTTTTCTTTTGTACAATTCGCATAATTTTGCAATTAAGATGTTAATTTCTTCTTCAATCTCAATATAAGTATAGACTGCATTCAGTGATTTTTCTAATCTTGCACACTTTTCGGTCCCTTTCTCATGAACAATTATGCTATGAGATCTAATCTTCAACACACATTGCTACATTCACAGGAGATATTAAGTAAAAAATTCGATTTGCTTTTATTTTTTGAGTTGTCTTTTGAAATAAGGCATTCTAATCGTCCACCATTTCAATATGATCGTTCGATGAATGCGAAAATTACAATCATGAGAAGATATAAGACAAAAGAAGATATTAATAAATCCGAAGACAGAAGAAAAAGTAGGGAGAGCGCAAAAAGCACACACAAAGTTCTAGAAGACAACAAGAAGTATGTATATATAGATTAAGAAAGAAAAATCGAATACGATGGAACCATTCTGAGACACAGAAAAGAAAAAGAAAGTGAGTATTTTATCATACAACCAAAGACACAACACGTCGACAGAAATATGTACAATGTACATGCAGACATTGAGAGAAAGAAGAAAAAGAAAATACTTGAACGGCGAAAGAAATAGAAGAATTGATTTTATTTTGCAAATACCATCATGATTTGATTAGCTTTACCAAAACATTCAATCTGACAACATTGATATTGATTTGTTTGTCGTTTTCATCTTCCGCCGCTGGATATATACTGATGAAAATTCACACCCGGTGTTACTGTTATGTCTCCAAATGCTTCACTTTGTTCAACGTCAACAGCTTGCAACTTTTTCAATACTAATAGCGTATAAAATTTCTGTGCAGTCAATTTTCGTGTATGATAATTTGGGTTGCCTGACGAGAGATGATCGTGAAACGAAAGTGCATCCGCTGAATCGAGAGAACGTTCGAAAGCATTAAGCATGATTTTTGCACGACGATTCAATTTCTTGCCAGATTCAAAATCCTAGAGGAGAGAACAGCGGTTTTATATAGTAATCAGAGATTTTTTTTTCGAAATAAATTACGTACTTCTTGAGCGGTAGTGGTTTGTCCATGTTCTTCTTCGTCATCGTCTTGCTCATCCTGATTCTCTTTCAAATGTCCCATTCCTTTCTTACGTCGTGCACTACCGGGTGTGCGTGAGGGCGATGGAGGTAGCTGATTCAATTCATGAACTTTTCGTCCGCTCTTTCTCGTTGGCGACATGGGCGCAGGCATGACATCCATGAGATTATCCATAGATGTTATCATCGGAGGAAAAAATAAGGAATCACCCGGTAGAATCGATTCCATACGTTGCCGTTTATCCATGTTCGATTCATTTCCCGGAGATAATCCACGTTTTCTTGAGCGATTGGGTGAATCATAACCTAGCACTTCTAGATAATGATGATGTGAAGCACGCATTTGTTCAATGGATGAATCGTCTCTGTCACGTTCAAGTTGTTCCATAGCAAGATCATGTTGAATTTGATAATTATCCGGCGGCATTTGATCTAATGCTTTTGTGGTCAAATTGCGTGAATATAACTATGAAAGATGAGGTCATAAAGGAAACGTTCGTTGGTCAACGAATTTGTTTTACCTGTTGCAGACTTTTTGAAAATACAGATGTAGCACTGAGAGAGAATAGCTTTTCGATTCCACCGGTTTCTTTCAAGTGCATTAGGCGACGCGTCGGCGGTGCTAATTCGAGTACACCAACAATATCTGTTGTATCACTGAGTTGCGTTTTCATTGATGTACTGTCGATTTCTTTCACTTCATCAATAACTAGTTTCCGCTTGCGTTTGGCTGCTTGCCGATTTGCTGCAGGTGTTTGCGCTACTCGGCAAAAGAAAACAAAGATAAGGAAATTTACATATAAAGAGTTCGTTGATTCTCACCTGATGTTAAAATAGGTGGTAGAACAAACTCATCCGAAACATTAGATAGAAGTGTTGTGTCATCAACACCTGGAATGTGTTGAATGCCTTGATTGTCTCCTTCAACATCCATACGATTATCGCCATCATCTAAAGACGTACACAGTTTTGAGAAAATCTCTTCATTCCTATTCTTCTTCATACCTTGATTCCGTTCACTAGCTGGAGCTGCATGATCATTAAGTGTGGGTATAGCAGGATCATTGTCATCATCTGCAAATAGATGATATATCTATGTACTGTTCCACATTATACCTTGACTTACGATGAAATGGTGACATGACATGATCATAATGACTTTTACCATTGGCTAAATCTGAATTATCATCGCCAATACCAATCACTGAGCTAGGTCCAGCAACTAAAAGGTAGAAAACCATTCTTCCTTCATCTGTAAATCAAATCACTGAACATATAATGGTGCTTCTACTAGGGCTATTCTATAGAACTGATTGATTACAGAATTTTGCAAATGCCTTATCTGATCAGATTAGATTATCTCTTCTTAATTCATAATACGTACAATCTCCAAAACCATCCAATGCAAATGGATCATCGCCGAATGGTCGAGCAATACTTTGTTTTTTACGCATAGTTGTATCTGAAAAGGTTCAATTGACGAAAAATTCGAATTTTCAGCATGGTTTTTCCTACCATCTAAATCTAGATTTGAATTTTGTGCATTCAAATGTACTGATGGTTGAAGTTTACGAAAGAACTCAGGTTCATCGAGTCCGTTAGCATCGCCTAAAAGACAGATAATGTTATCAATCACTGTTCATCTTCTTTAGTTTATCCTTACCAAAATCATCATCCATTGGCATAGGCACACTGATAAAATCTTCCTTCAATGTGATTTCTTCTGCACGTGCTTGATGCATTTGAAACCGAGTTGGATCATCGATATAACTAAATCGAATAGAAAAATCAATTACACTGATCTTTATCCAGTCATATCTTTGTTTCGATATAATAAGCATGAAACTTACTCTATGTTAAGATCGATTAGATCAAAATCGTGAAAATTTTCTGGTAAAGTTATTGCAGCAATTGAAACTTCTCGGGTATCGGGGTCGACATTGACACTATGTGTATTTGATCCTTCAATCCCCACAACTCCCGGTCGAAAAGCCATTTTAATTTTAATAAACGCTTCATTGCAATCCGCTAATAAGTATTTCGTTTTCCGTGAATAGATTCGCACAACTCCAAGTAATAAATGTCCTTTCGTACGTAATGCTAGTTTTAGACATGGTTCAAGAATCGATTCGCAACTAAGTCGAATATCTGTTTCGAAAATTTGTGCTTTAGTTAATTTTTTATCCCAATGTGCTGCAAGCCATAGACGAGCTAAAGGACCACGTTTGGTCAATATCGCATGTGTATAAAACATGCTGACGGCTAAGCTTGATCACCGTCCAAAACAATAAATGGCAATGAAGACGATGGTTTAAGGTCTTTGTCAGTGCCATATTGACAGATAGGAAGAAAGACTCCTCGATGAGGAAATTATTCATTTTGGAAACAAATCATATTGCGAGAAAAATTTTTTCAATTTAGAAATAGTTTTCAGAAGAAAAAGATGACTTTTTTTCTCAATGAAATATTCAACGATAGATGGTGCTGACTGTCTCAATAGAAGATAGTTTTACTTGAGAAATTACTTTTTGAAATGGGTAAGAATAAAGATAAAAAGAAAAAAGGTGCTGCGGTTCAAAAGACAGCTACAAAAGCGAAGAAGAAGACAGAAAAAGAACTGAAAAAACAAATTGAACAACTTGGAGAAGTATTAGTTTTCTTTTCAGAACTATCCAAATATTGAAACTTTTTCTACTTTTTTTTAAGGATAACATCGAACAGCTAATTACGAAACATGTAGGAAAGGACAAAAATATTGAAGCAGTTATCATTGGAGATCCAACTGAAAGTCCACCATCGAGAAGGTAAAACCTTATGCCACTTTCAATCATATCTAAGAAGTCTATTTCTAGAGCAAATGCTTCGCTAACTGAACATCCTTTAAAAGATGAGTTGCTACTCTTCGGTGGAGAATTCTTCGATGGACGTACTACAATACTGTTCAATGATTTATACATTTATGATATCAAAAAACAACATTGGAAACGTGTACAAACTCCACAACCGCCAGCACCACGTGCCAGTCATCAAGTTTGTCATCCCTAACTACTCTTCCAGTTGCATCAACATTGCCATTTTTCTTCTAGGCGGTCAGTGTGTCAATGCGTGACGGTGAACTGTGGATGTTCGGTGGCGAATATACATCTCCATCGCAATCACAATTTTACCACTACAATGATCTATATGTTTTGCATCTATCTACGTTAAGATGGGAGAAGCAAGTGACAACAACGAATGGACCATCAGGACGTAGTGGCCATCGTATGACCACAGCCAAACGACAATTATTTTTATTTGGCGGCTTTCAAGATTATATCACGTATGAAATTGTTGTTTTGTGTGAAATAAACGTTGTTCGTCTTTTCTAGAACGTTTCGATACTTCAATGATCTGTATTCGTTCTGTTTGGATACATTTCAATGGACACAAATAAAACCTATGGGTCAAGTTCCAACACCTCGATCTGCTGCACCTATCGTTACTTCACAAGATGGTTCAACTCTATTCATCGTCAATGGTTACAGTAAAGAAACTGACGATAAAGGCATTGCACATACCGATGTGTATGCTTTAACACAAGGTATAGTTTAATGTTAACAATATTTCATTCTAACCGATTTTTTTCATATTCAGATGAAGCATCTTGGCAATGCCGACAAGTTAAAGTCGGTGGTACCAAACCAGATTTACGCTGTGGTGGTAGTTTTCATTGTTATCTAAATACATGTATTCTATTCGGTGGCGTTACGGATTGTGATCTTGACAACAAGACTGCCGATGCGTTCTTGAAAAGAAAAGGTCCCGAGGCAACACGGATGCGTTCGGTATTTTACAATGATCTTCATCGGTTGGATTTGCATAAACTGAAATGGTATCCGATTGAAATTAAATCTGAAAAAGCGGCATCAACAGACACGGGACCAGTATCCAGAATGAATGCAATGATGGTTATCAAGCAAGGAATACTCTATTTGTATGGCGGTTTGAGAGAACTTGACGAGAAAAAACAAGTAAGTAGAATTGTATATGGAACTTGATCATCAACTAAAAGAAGAGGGTTTTAGTATACTTTAGGTGACTTCTACAGTCTAAATTTGAATAAACTCGATGCGTGGACATGTCTGTATGCTGATACTCAGCAAGGTGATGTTCATATCTATTCGGATTCATCTTCCGACGACGATGATGATGGTAGGACTATTCGTTTCCTTTGTAACAGTTTTGTTTGATTAATATCGTTCATTTAGATGTTGATATGGAAAAAGACGACGATTCTTCATCATCATCGTCGAGTGATGACGACGAAGATGAAGATATCGAAATTGAAGCACCGGATGCCATACCTAATGAAACTGATGATGAATACTATAATCGTACGCGTGAATTTTGGTTAGGTGAAGCGCGAAAAGAGATGAAAATCTCCGATCCCAATGACGACTCCATACGCGTGCAACATTTGGCCAAACAAATGTCGAAACTTTTCTTTCAATCATAACAGTACTTTGTTATTTATGTTTCTTATATTGTTATTGTTTCCGAACAAACAGACATAAAAATAAGAAGAATTGTTCCGAAAAAGTTTATTTCAATGACAAGAAATTCTTAATGCAATCAGTCAAATGATCAACCATATAGAATAGACAATACATTTCAGAACTTTCTTCATTAAACGCCATTGTCAATCAACAAAACTAACAAGTCTCATATAATCATAACGGGAACATGTGAAAAATTCCCTTCGAGTCATCTGATGTTGAACAGCACACAATTTCGTATCATGAGTCGACGAGAAGCTACACGAGCGCCGCAATTATTCGCTGGATATAACGACGTTGTCTGCTCTTTCAAAAGTTAAAGCGTATCTATATTGTTTGCCATCCATTGAGTGATAAGAAAGCTCGCCGTCTTGATATGTTCTCCTGGAACTTGGTTCCGTGATTGAGAAGCTGTTCTGATAATGAGATTGAACAATTTCAAGACATGACGATTTTCCTCCGAAAAATTATGGTCAGCGGTCAGATTTCATAGTCGTTACTACTAGTATTAAATTGTCCGAAGTTCGAGTAATCAGATAATTGTTGTAAAACTGTTGGCTATGGGTATATGAGCTGTCATATATCCCATATCACTGTTAAATGAGAAGCGATTGTCTCTCGAAGCAATTATTGTCTATGGTCATGCATGAATGATGATGATGATGATTACAGTGCATTTAAAGCTTAACCGATCAAAATTGGTTTTGAATGAAGACAAAAAGGAAAGTAATCGAGATCAAAATCTCCTGTATCTATTGATTTCTCCACAGGAAACATGTAATCGAACGAACTATCAGTCACCTTTCTCTCTTCTCTTCTGTTTACAACGGTATCATACCGACAATCAACAAATGCGCCTGTATATATTAGAATGATCTTTTCCGTAATGGGAAATAGTCCTGGTTTGTTCTCTCATTCTTATTATTCTAACACACATATCGGATAGTCACTATCAAGTAGAGAAATATCACTCGTTAACAATCTGTACAGCTAATGGCTGATGTAAATATTTTTTTGATCTAGGATCTTCTCAATTCTGTTTCGTTTCTTTTTTTATTAGAAAAAGGTAAAGAAGCCTGCTCAACGAGCGACAAGCAATGTCTTCACGATGTTTGAACAGAAACAAGTGCAAGAATTTAAAGAAGCATTTGGTCTGATGGATCAAGATCGAGATGGTTCGATATCATTGGATGACTTAAAAGAAGTCTACTCGTCGTTGGGAAAGACACCCAAAGAATCCGAATTGAAAGAAATGCTTGAGGAAACAGGTGGACCAGTTAATTTCACAAAATTACTGCAAATATTTGGCGATCGATTGAATGGTTTGAACTCTTTCTCATGCTGATGACATCAGAAGAATTTTTCCGTGTTTTCTGTTCAGGTACAGATGCTGAAGATATTTTAATGAATGCTTTCAAAACATTCGATGAGAATGGAAAGGGTTTTCTCGAGCGTGAGAAGTAACTATCTTCTAAAACTTGACTTAAAACATAAACATTATCGATTGTTCTTTTTAGTCTTCGTGAGTTATTAACTTCAATGGGAAAACCAAGCGAACGCTTATCTGATGTCGAGGTAATCGGGAAGCAATGAATTGATATGATTTGTTGTATATGTTCTTTGTAATTAGTTCAATCAGATGCTAGAAGGAGCACCGGTTGATACAAAAGGTTTACTCGATTATGGAGCATTTACCAAACAAATCAAACGTGGAAAAGAAGATGATTGAACTGATAAATTTTGCCTTTTTTTACCATTAGAATTCAATTTGCTTGTGTTTCTTTATGTGTAGCCATACTAGAATACAGTTTAGATTGCTAACAGAACGAAAATATTATTTCAAGAACTCAACCTCTATGAGCTAAAACATCGATATGTGCACTAACATCTAAGTTTCGTATTATCTACTCACCTGCTATGTAAGTATAAACACAAATCAGAATGTTTATTTTTACATTGTGCATCTGTCGTGTTGTTATTGTTTAAGTAATGAAAAGCATGTATTCAATGTAATCGATATATCGTGTACGAGAGTACTGAAGAAGTAATGAAAACATTCTTTTACGAACAATGAAAAGGTTATCAAGTTTGAATCAACTCTTGCTTACAATTCAACAGATGTGAACCATCTGCTGAAAATGAATTTTCGCTTATTCTTATCAGATTTTGATAGAGTAGCCATATAAACACATTTGCTCTATTTAGAAAGAAAGAAACCATATCTTATCATTGTCATACGTTGATTCTATCAGGAGAAGTAACCATGACAAAGTTTCTTTTTATTCTATGTACTATTTCAGCTCTCAATTTTCTTGCAACACAAAAGACTGTTGTATTTAATATTCTGGACGACGGTGCTATCGGTGATGGCGTTCATGATAATACTGATTCTATTCGAAGAACGATTCTTCGAGCAACCGATCAACAAGCACCTTGTACGGTTCTTGTTCCCGGAGGAGACTTTCTCACAGGTTCATTGGAAATACCATCAAATGTAACATTCTATCTCGCTGCAAATGCTACTCTCCGTGCCTCGGATAATGCTAGTCATTATTCATGCGTTCCAAGTATGACAAGTGATACGGGACCTTGCGATTATCCATTTCTACTTGTTGATCATGCACACGACGTTCATCTTCGGGGGGAAGGTCGAATTGATGCCGGTGCTAATAGTCCACCAGGCCATCTCGTTCATGAATATCGTCCAGCATCGAATATGCTTATACCTACAGAATGGACACTACCGAATTGTTCGTATTACAGTTGTCGACCAAAACTGCTCGTTGTACGATACAGTTCATCAGTTGAGTTGACAAATATAACTATAATGAATTCTCCTCTATGGACAGTCACGATTGTTGAAAGTGAAAACATTCTTTTTGATCGTGTGACGATAGTCGGCGATCGTCGTTGGCCAAATAATGATGGTATTGATCTAATCAATTCTCGTCATGTGACAATTCGCAATTCAAATATAACGACGGGCGATGATTGTATTGCCATCATGTCACATGGTCCATCGTCGATGTTTAATATCACGGTAGAGAATATGAATTTACAGAGTACATCAGCAGGAATTAAAGTTAGCGCATATGAACGAAATTCGACGGGTGATATGTACGATATGGTATTTCGAAATGTACGAATAAACGATACAAATCGTGGTTTATGTGTTGCACCACGTTGGGGAACAGGAAGAATAGCAAATCTTCTATTCGAACAAATGTCGATCGAAACAAGATTTTTTGGTTTAGATTGGTGGGGTACAGCCGAGCCGATTTATATAACGGGTCTTTCAGCTAATGCAGAACGGACGTGGACGGGACTAATGAGAAACGTCACTTTCAGACATATCGTTGCACGCGGTGAACAAGGCTTTCTCATTCGAGGAAATACAAGTATATTACAAGATATCTATTTTAGCAATGTGTCACTTACGATTGCACGATGGAGTAATGTAAGTGAACATCCGTCGCTTGATTATCGTCCGTCACAAGAACCACAAATGAGCCGAGCAAATGTAGATGGGCTCTTTGCTATGGATACTAACGGATTATATCTCGAAAATATTGAAATCGAGTATGTCGAACCAAAGCAATACTATTATGGACAATGTTTGAATATTAGTAATGTGACGCAGTTAATTGAAACAAATATTCAATGTCGAAATGTGAATTTCTTAACATCAGGACAAACGAATTGGAAAACTATTGATAAGATAGTAATTGTATTTTTCTTTGTGATATTAGCATTTTTTATCAATTTACTGTAAATAAAAAAGTCTTCTGTTACCTTCTGCTAAATGTCACTCTAACTGTAAGTCATTGCTACGAAATTTCTCTTCCTTTGAGAAATTGAAATTTATTCTGCATCTCAAAAATGACAAAGATTCACATCATAGGATATTGATCGGTTGTCTTTCAGTACTGGGTAGTTCCACCTGTGCCGGTTGGATAGTATGTGTGATGATGACTGCGATGACCGCCGCTGCTACCACCGTGATAGTGTCGAGCACTACTGCCATAATGAACATTACCATATTCTGGTTGACCGGTTGCATTACCATGATACGTCACAAAACCATTGGCTATTTCGTGACGTTCCTTTCTTTTGCCTAATGCATAACCGGCTAAACCAACAGCACCTGCAGCCAGTATTAATTCCATTATGATATTGAATACTTTGTCGAGTGATAGTTTCTCACCAAATATGAATATGTCTGAGTGTATGTATGTGCTTCAGTATATATAGATATATAGGGGAAAAAAGGAAGAGAAAAAATGAAAACAAAATCGAGCGTGTTATTGCAGGTAGAAAAGAAAGGCACTTGATATTTTTTCTTAATTAGTAATCATGATCATTGTTAGACAATAACGTATATGTCAGGCTTTTTCCAATCAATTAGTCAGTAAACAACACTTGAAAGCTGTGACATGTTGTATGACGCAATTAGATAAACTAAACAAGGTAGAACCTATTAGTTTTTATTTTGAAAAATAAAGAGCGTTGATTTTTTTTTCTTCTAATTAAACATCAAATAAATTTCTCTGACTATTTAGTAAGCAATTCACAAATTTCTCATTCTGCATACGAATAGGTTAGACGCACGTACACCCACATATACAAATCTTGCTATATTCTTTTTGATTCATTTCATCGAAAAATCACATGTCAAATAGATATTGAAAAAGTCGATAAGTAAGAATGGACACTTTTTTCATGTGTAATAACTTCCACCACGGTCTCCGCCACTGTAGCAATATTTGAAATAGATAATTTCAGCAAGAATTGCTATGGTTATAAATGTTATACCTAGCCCCATACCCAACTGTGCTGAACGGGTTGGAGGTGGTTCACCTGAAAGGGAAATCAGGAAAATCTTCGTTTTGTTTCCTTCACATTAACCAAAGTCAAACCTGTGTTGACTGGTGCAGAAGTAACTGTTGTTGTCGTTGTCATTGTCGTCGTCGTTGTTGTCGACGATCGCGTTGTTTGACTGGTTGTAGTAGTAGTAGTGGTGGTGGTGGTAGTTGATGTTGTCACTGTCACTACGGCGACATTAGCAGTAGTGGTCGTAGACGAAGTAGTTGTGGTTGCTGTTGTTGTAGTGGTTGTAGTAGTTGTCGAAGGATCAATCACTCTCAGATGCCAAAACTGTGGATCAGTAAAGGCAGTTGAGTTGATAGTACTGTTGGAAAACAATACGCCGACATCAAAGGTGATATAGAATTCATTGCTGGCATTATAAAGATTTTGCGGTAAATAAAAGGCTACTGTGTAGTTTGTGTAGCTCACACTGCTGTTAGAGTTAGAAACATCGATTTGATAAACTGATGTATTTGTCGAATAATTATAAACACAGATGCGTGATGAAAATGTCGGTCGATTAACTAATTGACTGACTGAAAATAAAATCCAAACCAACTACGGATTACAATCTATTTCTACGCGCCTACTTTGAATCGAAAAGGGAACGTTTGTGTTATTCACTGTAAAATTTGATTTAGGTACTTGAAGTGTTATGTTAAAATCACCGTAGATAGAAACAATAAACAAATCAATGAAGAAAATGCTTAGGAGAATCTTCATTTGTTGTGTGTTAAAATGAAATATATTCGTCTGCGTCTGACGGCAAGAAAACGACGTCTAAGCGATACGGAGAGGAAAAAGAAAAGAAATGTATGATGTTAAAAATATTTTCTTTGTGTTCATCTGAGAAGATTACAACAACGTTTCCTTCATCTTCAAGAAACATGAGCAAGAGGAAAAAAGTAAAAAGTTACTGGCATGAAAAATAGAAACGTCTAGTTGACACATGATGAAGCTGCAACATAGACGAGATATGGGAGCCAATAGAACTCAGGAAAGTTTTCGTCTGAAATACACACAAAGAAAAAAAAACTCTTTCTTTTCATCGTTGAATCATTATTTAATAAATCCCGAAGAGAATAAATTGACTTGTTGTTTTTTCAACACTGATGAATATTACTGAATGTTTGATTATCGTACGAACGCAAGGCAACATAAATTTTAATTATAGTCAAGGGAAAACCTTGAACAAAAGTTTTATTTGTTCAAAACAAACTTTGTACTAGGTAATGAAAAAAACATCTCGCTTCATATCGGAAGTTTCCTATTCTCGAAACGGAACTATGTAAATCATTAAAATAGTTTTTAAAACAAAGGCGCGCAAAGGATTGTTTTCTTGTTGTTTTTCGAATTTATTTATATGAACGAGATTATATGTCTTCATATCGGTCAAGCAGGTTGTCAGATAGGTCATGCTTGTTGGGAATTATTTTGTCTTGAACACGGTATACAACCGGATGGATCCTTATGTTCGTCGAATGACGATAATCAATCGTTACTGACATTTTTCGAACCTGTGGGATATGCATACACGCCACGAATGTTGTATATTGATTTAGAATCGACAGTTTTAGATGAAGTTCGTTCGGGTTCGTATCGACAATTGTTTCATCCAGATAGAATCATTTCTGGGAAAGAGGATGCAGCATCGAATTATGCTCGTGGTTATTTCACGATTGGGAGGGAAATAGTCGATCGTGTTCAAGAACAGATACGCCGCCTCGTGAATCGATGTCATTCATTGCAAGGCTTTGTGGTATTTCACAGTTTTGGTGGTGGTAATTATCGAATCTATGTTGGAAACTACATTGTTTATTTGTCGAAATATGCTTAGGAACTGGTTCTGGTTTCACATCTCTTCTCATGGAGCATTTACATAACGACTACGGAAAGAAGACACGTCTTGAATTCGCGATCTTTCCATCGCCGAAGCTGTCAACTGTTATTACCGAACCGTACAATACTGTTTTGAATACTCATACAGGTTTGGAATATGCGGACTGTGTTTTTATTGTTGACAATGAAGCACTCTGGGACATATGCACCCGCTCTTTGAATCTTTCAAGAGGAAATTTTGTCAATATCAATCGATTAATTGCACAGGTTATCTCAAATATCACAGTTAGTAGTCGTTTCAAAGATGGTACTACAGCTGATTTTATCGAATTTCAAACAAACCTTGTTCCATTTCCACGCATTCACTTTCCTCTCGTAAGCTATGCACCGTTGTGTTCGGCCGAGAAAGCTTACCACGAACGAAATGATACACAATCGATAACAGAAGATTTGTTCCATCGAAATAATCAAATGATCAAAGTAGAACCATCGCAAGGCAAATATATGTCAATTACGATCATTTATCGAGGCGCAGTCTCGCCCATCGACATCAACAATACAATCAATAAATTAAAACGTGATAGAAGAATATCGTTTGTTGACTGGTAAGTTTTCGAAAGCGATCATATGAATTAAAAATTATCTTATACGAAAAACTTTTTATTTTCTAAGAATATCAATCAGGTAAATAATATAAAAGAGAAAATGAGTTCAGCAACCCAGAAAACCTATGTACTAATATCGTAACTTCCTGATAGTGAAAAAATATATCCCGACAGTTGTTAACAACAACAAAGGACGTCATCTAAACAGTAATATGCAGGAACACAAACTTCCTGCGGTATGATGCAGATTGGTTCTGGTTCAGGAACGCAAATTAGTTTAGGTCGAGGAACACAGATAACTTGTGGTGGAGCTACACAAACCGAAGGTGGTGGAGGAACACAGGTTGCTTCGGGAGCTGGAATACAGATCGTTTTTGGTGAAAAAGTATTGTCAGATTTCGACGAACACGAATCATCTGTATTTGATGTCGTATTAAGAGAAAATTTTGATGGCTTGTCCATACGGGTTGGTGGTGCAGGTGGAGATAGTAGGATTGGATCTTTTGGTATGGGCATAGGCCTTGGAGACGATGATGTGGAGCAGCCAGTTGTCGGAAATGTTGACATATCAGATGTCCCAGTTGTTGGCATATCGCTTGATCCAATTGTGAACATATCAGTTGATTGTGTTTCAGGCATACAGAACAGTTTTGCAGGAGGACAAGCCGGTTTTTGCGCAGGGCAGCTACTTTTTGGTGGCGGACAACCACCTTTCGGTGGAGGACATCCGCCTTTGGGTGGAGGGCAGTCACGTTTTGGTGGAGGACACATATATTTGGGTGGTGGACACATATGTTTAGGTGGAGGACTAATACATCTAGGTGGTGGACAGGTACATCTGGGTGGTGGACAGACACATCTAGGTGGCGGACAGAAACATCTGGGTGGTGGACAGACGCATCTGGCTGGAGGACAAATGCATGGAGGTGGCACACAGACGCATCTGACTGGTGGACAGACTAATTTGGGTGGTGGATAAACTAGTTTCGGCGGTGGACAGACCAGTTGTGGCGGCGGGCAGACTAGTTTTGGTGGTGGATAAACTAGTTTCGGTGGCGGATAGACTAGTTTCGGTGGAGGACAGACTAGTTGCGGCGGAGGATATATCAGCTTGGGTGGTGGACAAACTAATTTTGGTTGGCAGAGACACTGAGGTTGCCGTACATACATGCACTCTGATCCTGAAGGAGCACACACTAATTCCATTGGACAATTGCGAAGGATAAGATCTGGTTCAGAGGCCACGTTTATTCAAATAGTAGCAATTGACTTAGTTAACAACTTGTTTTTATAACTACAATTTTTTTGCTTTCGACCGCAGCCTTTATATACACATCTTCGATCTGATACACACCATAAACAAGTGAGTTCACGATTATTTTCACTAGTTCCGCAAATTTTTTCTATATAATGAAATTGTGACGCAAAAGTTTCATGACAAATTTAATTGTAGGTGTCCTACTGGTTTCAAAATTGGTCACAGTTGAGTGCCATGTACTGCAGATTTTTGTTTTGATCGAACTATTTTATTTAGCTGTAAGTCCACCAATCGCTGTTCCGGGTGGTGATCTTGCACCCACTAATCGATCTGCTGTTGGTCTTGCAAATTCCACAGCGTTAGTTGAAGCGTGGGCTCGAATTGATTACAAATTTGATCTCATGTATTCGAAGCGCGCATTTATTCATTGGTACATTAGCGAAGGAATGGAAGAACATGAATTCAATGAAGCACGAGAAAATTTAGGAGCGTTGGAGAAAGGTTAGTTTGTCATCAGAAAATATGTTTCACATAATTTTTTCATTTCCATTGATTTTATTTTCCATATTTCAGATTACATTGAAGCAGGACACGATCTCGCACGAGTTAATTCGATAAGATCGAATATGTGATATGGTGACTAACCGCTTTTGCATGACTAATACAGATAGTCATTTCTCTTTAACATGTGATCTTTTTTCGTCATTGCCACACTTAATAGACAAGGAAAAGGATTTCTATCTTGATAATATCTCTTTGACAAGTTTTATATCATAAATGATAAGACGAAAAGTCAATAATGCCCGTGAATCACCACACAATAGAATGTATAAATAAAAAATTCAAGCTCGAAAGTAGTACTTATTATATATTATCTGTGAAATCCATCACATGAGTCGTTCGGGTCGATGCAAAATGGTGCTTTTAGGTGACACAAGTGTCGGTAAATCCTCTTTAGCACTTCGTATCACTAAAGGCTATAGTCATGAACATATTGAAACTACAATCGGTGGTGCCTTCTTCCCACATTCGGTTCAGATTGATCCTGATACAGCGCTAAAGATTGACTTGTGGGATACAGCTGGTCAAGAAAGGTAGGCTGTATCTTCTTTCTTTATCTCGATGTAAACATTATTCATATTCTAGATTTCATTCTCTCGCTCCGATGTACTATCGACATGCTGCGGCAGGTTTAGTTGTTTACGACATAACAAATAGTGAGTCATTCCGTCGTGCGAAGATGTGGGTTAAAGAAATACGTGCAGCAAATGGGCTCAACATGGTAGTTGCAATAGTGGGCAACAAACTCGATCTAGCTACAGGTGACAAACGTCAAGTAAACAGACAGGAAGTTAGTGAATATGCTGAAGAGAATGAGTTGCTTTTCATGGAAACGTCGGCACGACGTGGTGATAATGTCGGAGAAATATTTTTGACAGTTGCTAAACAAATTGCTGCAAAACAACAAATAAATTCACTAAATAGAACGAATGATACAATTTCAGCAACAAGTGTGACAACCAAAACAACCAAATCGAATATTTGTTGTAACGGTTAAACATAATATTTTCCTTTTTTCTGAATGTGTTTATATGAAAGTAATAGTAAACTGGTTTCATTTTTCATTTAATGGATCTTATCTCTATTGGGCATTCACTGATACACAGAAAGATCACTTATATAATTGTATATTTTCGCATTACTCGATTGTTGTGCAAAAGCACATTGCAATTATTCGTCACTTTTGCAAAAAAAAGTGTTCGAATTCATTTGAATATATGCAATGGGAAATGAAGTCAAGTATATAAGTGAATAAGTCAAGAGAGTCTTCTCCTACCGTGCGACTGACATCGACAGGTGTACCTACTAGAAGTGGCTTATCCCTCTCCAACGATCCCCGTCGGCAGAAAACGAATGGAACCGTGAAAATGCTATTTCGCGTGTCAAGTCGTCTATGGATGATTTATCTTGTGATGTTTTCATTTCGAACGGAAAAGGTGCTGATGAGTTATAAAACACAAATGTGCAAACGATCAAGTCTGATGAGATTAACCATCACCATTATTGTTCTTTCATCCTCACACATGTGAATGTTTTCAATCGATTGACACATTGCCTCATATTGAGTCCATCTGTTATCTCCCTTGTGTCCGAAAGAGAAAAAACAGTTTAACAAGAATATTATCATCATGATTATGAATGTTTTGATCTTCAATTGTGAGAAGATGGGAAACGATATGAAATGAAGATGATATATTGGATTTCTGTTCTTCTCTATGAGCAAAACAAGATATTCGATTATAGAATGTATTCTTTAAATAACTTATGTCATGCATTGACACCTTTTTGCGCTTCATAATGTTTCATCTCAAAGATTGACATCAATGATGAGCAACACTGCCCGCTGGTCACAATTATTCCTTAGACGATCAAAAGACGTGACTCAAAGATGACATCTTCATCCAACAAACACATTCTGCCGCTCCACATCTCCACATCAGCTGAAGGAGAAAACTACTTGAAATCATAATTGAAAATGAACATGGAAATGAAAAGAAGTGAACATCTAATTATTCGTGGTCACGCGAATCGATCCCACTCGATCACCAACTGTGAACTGTATCTCCGTACCTCTTTCTCTTTCTCTCTTTTCTTTCACCCATCATTCGACTAAATACGAGACCCTATACACATGAGAGGGAGACAGAGAAGGAAAAAGAGAGAGAGAGAAAAAGAGAACGGTTGATCGATGTAGACATGTACGTATATATAAGACGGTATTGACTACGTAATATTATGCTCATTCTGACATAACACACACACACATTAGATTACAACATCATATCATATCAATCGACTAACTAACTGAGAATCATGTCATTTATGATTGACCGACTTCTTGCTCCATCATCATGTTCATCTTCGATCACTTCCACAATCAATGTCACTCGATCAGCTCTTCAGTCATTGACAAACACTTCCATTTGTACAAGTCAACAAAAACAACGACGAATGTGGCAATGTGACATATGTTCGAAAGCTTTCGATCGTCCATCGCTATTAACTCGACATATTCGTACACATACAGGTAAGATTCACATTAGTTCATTCTTATTTGATTTCTATATGATTATTTTAGGTGAAAAACCACATGAATGTGATATTTGTACAAAAGCATTTTCGACTTCATCATCACTCAATACTCATCGTCGTATTCATTCAGGTGAAAAGCCTCATGTCTGTGAGATATGTAACAAACGATTCACTGCTTCATCGAATCTTTATTATCATAAGTTAACACACAGCAAAGTAAGTGACTTTATTCGATTAGTTTGATACTAGATGATTATATTGTGTTTATTTGTAGGAAAAACCTCACAAATGTTGTCAATGTTCGAAAAGTTTTGCAACACCAGGTGATCTTCGATGTCATTTACATGTTCATAATGGTACATGGCCATTCCGATGTTCGATCTGTACTCGTGGTTTTTCCAAACAAACCAACCTGAGAAATCATCTTCTTATTCATAGTGGTGAAAAACCATTCAAATGTGTTCATTGTATGAAGAGATTCTCATTATCATGTAATCTTCGATCACATGTTCGCACTCATCACAATGATATACCATTGGACTTTTCTTCATCTTCGTTTCAATCAGAAAATCAGTCGTTATCTCATATGGATGGCGATGAGAGTGTTGATGAAGATGAAGATATGATCGATGTGGAAAACGAAGACTGAGAGTTGGTTTATTGTTATTTTTGTATTTTGAATGATTTATTTATATTAATTGTGTGTGAGAGAGAGAGAAGCACAGAATGAACAGTGATGTGATATTGTAAATGTAAATGTTCGAAATATGTGAATAAAGATTTGTTATTTCGATTAGAAAGAAAAATAAAGAATGAATGATATTTGAATGTTGATGGTGATCGCGGAAGTTTGCGTAACGTGTTGGTGTGTTTAGCAGATGATTTATGTGAATGGAAAAGAAAGCAGATCAATTTTCATAGTTGTTGTTCTCAAAGAAAGGAAGGAAGGAAGGAAGGAAGGAAGGAAGTGAGAGGAGAAGGTGCAAATGATTGAACTCATAAATTTGATTATAATGATGTTGTTTGAGACAATGTTGGTGATTGTTGTTTTTGATTTGAATATGTGGGGCGAGGATGTGATTTGATATATGTATGCAGATTTATAATGTTGATGTGGAAAAGAAAAGGATGAAATGAGCGGCGAGAAATAGGAAATAGTCTAAATAATTAGGAGAGATGTGAAATGAGTAATTTGTAAAGCAAACAAGTTCAAAGACGAGTTACATTTGGTAGTCTCATGTTGACTTTTTCGTTATGATGGTGTGATGTGTTCGCTGAAAAATCACAAGCCTACACTAATAGACAGACACATGTAGTTTATTGCATATTTCGGCTATTGCGAAAAGATAACACTGAGATGCTGATTACGATGTTATTTTTGTTCATCTTCTGTTTTTATAAGATGTAAGAAGTTGATTGTGTTTATCTGAATGAGCATGAGAAAAACATGGCAAAGAGAAGAATTTATGAGCTATGTTATTGCAGATAAACATGACACGAGTAAGCAATGTATCAAAACAATATATATCACATTAGTGATGCTCTCAAAATCATTGAATCACCAGTTGTAGTTTTCCCAGTGATCTTCAAATCGAAGTAACTTCCTAATTTTAGAGAGACATCCTTTGAAAAGTTCACTACCGTTTGAAATCGTCTTTTTTTTAAATATTAATTTCGTAAGAATCAAACTCTGAGAAAGTGAAGCCTAATTCTAAAATGTCAGTTGCTTTCCCAAAGCCAACTGCCACAACAACAACATCCTAATTACTGTTGTCAAAATTAATGTCTATGAATACTGCGTAAACTTTACACATTTTTATTTGACACATACATTTATTTCGAATAAATCAACTTTTCGAATAGAAATCTTCCTTTTAAAATTATTTAAATATATATCGAATGTCTTTTATGTACAATTGATTTTCTTTCTACGGTTGAAAATAATCAAGTCTTCTAAGCCGGATATAATTTCACTTTATTTGACGACACCAAGTACCTCTGGACACAATCGATTTGTCATTTCATACTAAAGCATCCAAGGATGTGAAAATATATCAAAATATGCGAAATTATCTTACCAACGGAGCCATTTCTTCTCTTTTCAACAAATCAAATTCGTGGCAAAAGTAGCAGAAATGTTTGTAACACATATTGACATGCGGTTCCTGGAAGAGGGGTAAAAAATTCGTGTCGTTTACAATGGTAAACAAATCTTACCGCTTGCAAGTCAATAATGCGATCAAAATGATGTACATAAACATGAACAAACACCCGGTATAATCGCGATAGTAATTTTTTACATGTCGAACGAAAATTCTTCGGGAATGGTGTACCGACTTGTACTGGAAATATTGCTTCATCATTAATGATCGTTTCGACCCATTCCATCAGTAAAGTTATATAACTGGGCGCATTTAATGATGTTGGCTTTTTATATTTTACACCGTCACACCATCTGAAATCAGCAGAATTCGTTTAGCTTTTGGCGATGAATGACAGCTTTTAGTATTTACCGATATTCATATCGAGGTCCGCCAGACATCGTTGGACAACTTTGCGGAGTACAATAGTCAGTAATAATCCCGTAGACCAGATTGATTCGATTGAAAAAGTCGACCACTAATAATTCATAATGAAAGAATTCATCTCGTTCGTTCATGTCAAACGTGTGCTTTCAGTTCTTACCATGCACAGCAATCCAATCATCTTCATCTTCATTGTCAGGTAGTTTGACAATCTCTTTCAAATCAAGACCGGATTTTAACGAAGCACTGGCTTGTTTATGAAGCGAGTATCGCATTGTATCTTAAAACAAACCAGAATCGTTCTTGGCAATTATAGAATGAATCATTACCCTGTTCGAATTTCTTCTTCGGACGAAAAGTCTACAAATAAGAGTACTATAACTGTAAACAGAATCGATCTAATCACTTACCTTGTCTTTAGCAAAGAAAGATGCAAAAGACGATGCCATGTTTCGATGTTCAAGAGTCGTTTCAATACTGAAATGAAAACTATCAATACACTTCTTCTGTAAACATACTAATCAATAGCGAGATTTGCTGTCTATTGTTTGTACGACTATCGAATGTTCGGCGTATGCCTCAGTCAACAATCCGGCGGTGATGAGAGAAAACGAGAGTCAAAGAAGCAGAAGAAGAAAACGGACAGTTGTGTATGTCTATACATCTCGACTGTCGAACACTCAATTATCAATCATCAACGCAACGAAGTAACAAAAGAAAAAGATAGCAAATAATTCAAGTAGTAGCACAAAAAAATGAAGGAGAACAATACGGTTCACTACTATTGGTGTTTGAAATGCCAATATTCAAGGATGATGAATGGTTCATTTTGTTCAGTGGAGACAGCCTCTTTATACTGAACGAAATAGAAGAGGTCGCCTGTAGTTGGTAATTCTGTATATAGAAAAAGAAATGTTCAAATTGATTCAATTAAACAAACAAATTGTTTGATTATTAATCGAACTTTAATACACTATTCGAGTGAAACCTGGCAGAAGTATTTATTTCATGAGCTTCTTGATAAATTACATCCAAATTAGAAAACAATTACTAGATGCAGAGCCATCATAGACATGCTCAACTATACAGAAGAAATGGACTGTTCTATTCACTAGTGAATACTTTTGTAATGATGGCATCAGTACAACTGTAATTGAGTTAATGATCTTCAATAGTCATGAATATTCAGATATATCTAGATCTCAAGTTTCACTTGTTCTATTCAGCTAGTAGACACCAAGAGAATCTCTTCGGCTCATCATGGAAACAATGTACATTATTCAGATCAAGTCTGTCAATTACATAAGCACAAAACATGTCTTGATGTGTGCTATGCATTTGAACAATACTCATGTATTTCGAAGTCTATAATGGAAATGTATATAGATATTCTACAATAGATAGAAGATGCTTCAGACCAGATGGAATGGAAATCATTTAACTTAATAAATACGATGCACATCTGGTTTATTTATAATTAACATAATCCATTGACCTTTGCATCAATTACGATCATCCTTGAAATTTCAAGTTTCTGCAAGAAGAATAAATAATCATTGCTTAGTTAAAATATCCAAGTTACGAAGAGAGAGAGAGAGGCTTTCTTTTCTTTCTGATATTCGTTTGACGAAGTATACAGCTGTTTTCAGACTAGCAGAGCACAAAATACTACATAGAGCATTGATCTTATTTGAATTCAACTTCATGATCAAGAATAACTGATCTAATCTGATAGAGTTTAGAGATTTCTGTTGTGAACACCTATATTTGCACATGTCAATGACGCGAGCAGAAGTTGACAGCTTGACTCTTACGTCATTTATTAGAAGAAGTATTTCTTCATTGAACATTGTAAATCAAACGAAAAGTCTTCTTGGTCAATAACTTTCGAATGTTCGTAAAAGACACTACTCTCCTAATTCTTTTCGAAACCAAGTGTATATTTAAAAAAAAAAGAATACAAATTAACACATAAATATTTCTACAAAATACAGCAGAAGTGAACTTTCTCTTTATTTTCGCACATTTCGAACTGGACGGTTCGGTCTTTTCTTGTTCGTTTGTTCCGACGGAGGAGATACGCGACTAACTCCGTATAAGACACCCGCAACCAGAAATAGAAGATAATCTACGAAGATAAGAATATACGCAGCTTTGTACAAATGTCCGTGACAATATTCAGGTAGGACAGGATCAAAGAACTCGACGCGTAATTTCACTTCGAAGACTATCCCTTGTCCAGCAAAAAACCATGCGATGATAAGTAGAAACAGCACGATGAAAACGGGAATGAGAATCTTCAATAACTTTGGGTTAGGACCAGAAGTTTTTAACGTCATTGATGGTTTTTTATTCAGTTGAACGAAAATAAGAATGCCCACGATGACAAAAGCAATACCAGATGTACCGCTGAGAATCATATACGGAGATATAAATTGTCGGACAGTACATTGTCCAACATAGATGAAACCAATAACGAATTGCGAAACAGGTACAGGAGCATAGAGGAGAATGGTTATCAGAAAATAGAACGAACTGAGATATCCACCTTGATATTTAATAGATGAAGGTTGTATCGTTTGTATAGGCAATGGTTGACGTAAATCGTATTGTAAAGGTTCAAGATAATCAGCATCGTCTTCGCCTGGATCTTTATATGTAACTTTTTTGGGTTTAGTAGCCATAATGAAGTTCAAATCTAGAGAAAAGAATGATATGACATAAGTCCAATATATTTGTAATCGAAAACAAACTTTAAACGAAACGATCAATGTCCGATCGTAAATGATAAGCGATAGAAAAACGTCTCACTTTATTCATCTTTACAAGTCCTTCCTCTTCTTCTGTTATATAATTTGTCAATGTACGACTACATATTCTTACTAGTTCTACGTTTGTATGGCCTTGGGTGTCAAGCATGTTCACTTTTCTTCTCTTTTTCTCTTCCGTCAAAATTTTTCTTTTGTGTTCTTTGAAGATTTTTTTTTCTTACTTGCGCGTGTATATACGTAGTACTCTCACCTTTACCGCTGTTGGCAGAGAAAAAATTCAGAAGGAACCGTATGGGTCGCCTATTGCAGATAAGAGAGAAGGAGAAATTGAAACGACGGTGATGCGATGACAACATATAAAAAAGACGTAAAAATGCCAGGAAAGGAAAAAATGTGAGGTACAGTTTTGGCTTTGTACGTGTATGTGTATAGGTAATAAACTTTTAGTTATATAAAGAGAAAGAAAAAAAGACACTGAAGGACATGTATGTAATCGAAAGGGAATGGAGGAGTGAAGAAGAATTTCTGTTCTTCTTCTTTTTTTATGTTAAAACGATGTAACTGACCTTCATCATATTATATTCAAAAATCTGTCTAAAGGAGAGTTGCTACGGTGTTGTTAGAGAAAACGTATGCAGTGGAAATAGACGATGAATCGAATTTCACTCAGTTTTGTCATAATCTGATCGATCGATTAGGAGAGAAGAAGATGACGAAGATTAGTAAAAACATATCTCGTTATTGGTTTGTTTATCATTGATTTAACCGAAAGAAAAGAAGTAAAAAAATTATCAATTCAAATTGTATTTGATAAAAATATGTCGAATAACCTTGTTCATCATTTTATACAACGAGCAGGAGATGCATCGTTTAATAGGTCCGGGTACATTTACTATAAAATTTTTGTGTTAAAATCATTCATTCAAATTCGCCATTAAAATTTAATAATATCAAATTGCTTGCTCTCTTACATCTGTCATCTGTACTGGCAGAATCATTTCGGTAAAAGTTGTGTTGCATTTCCCTGTATTAATATCAACAGTACCTGATGTTGACCTTCGTTTCCATACGATATCTTACGATACTCTAGATGTTTATCATCACATATAGCTGAAGAGGCAAATACTAGATGGAATTCCAACTGAAACAGATTGTTAGAGATGCGGAATAGAAAAAAAAGACTGTACGAATGTTTGGGGTTCTCCATAAAAAGATGCAAATACTTGACAAGTTATAAAACTCAATATCTGATCATGCTCAAAAGATGTCTCTATTACACACTTGACTATATTGAAATTATTTACACAGAATCCAATTTTATTTTAACGATGATACACTTTTTTATCGTCAATTCTTCTTTAGAATTATTTCGAAACGATGAAACATAAGTTAATTTTTTATTTATCACAAGACAACGCATACCGGACAGGTTATCATTGATTCGGTCCTTCATTTATCCATCACGTGTACATGATTGAATAACCAATGAATTAGCGAGCTAATCCCGTCAAGCTTGACTTGTTATTGTGTGTACGTGTTGATACACACACTCAGAACGGATCAAAATGATGAAAGTCGGAGAAGTTTTTCTACCAGATGATGAAGATTACAAATATTTCAAGAACGAATGTACAAATGATGATGGATGGACAGTGTGTTATGATAAATCATCATGCCGTGTAGCTACGAAGAAAAGTGACCTTTCCGCATTTGATGTTGTTCGTGTAAGGTTATTTAAATTGAATTGATGAATACAATAATCTTGTTGTTTGTAGGTTCAATCGGAGTTTAAGGATATTTCAGCGGATCTTCTCTACGACGTTCTACATGATGGTCCGTATCGCGCCAAATGGGATTCGACCATGCTAGAATCAAATGATATTTGTATTGTTTCACCAAATAGTGATATTGGATATTATTCCGGTTGGAAATATACAGATTGAACTATGAAAATAATCATAATAAAATTTCTTCTCTAGTAAAAAGTCCACCGCCGTTTAAAAACCGAGATTTTGTAACACAACGTGTTTGGTTAGATTTCGGACGTAATCAAGAAAAATATATTCTCAATCATTCGGTCAATCATCTTGTAAATAATTCTTCTAATTGACTATTTTGTCTACGCTCATTGATATATTCTAGCGTGAGCCACCGCGAAAGAATTTTGTACGTGGAATTTCTTATCTAACTGGATTTTTAATCATACCGAAAGGTTCGTCATCGTGTACATTCTATTACATGACACAATGTGATCCTGGAGGTCAGTATTTTTCGAAGTTTTCCATTGTAGCTATCGTATTTTCTTTGCTTTCAGGCAGTTTGCCAGTTTGGTTTGTAAATAAAACATCGAAAGTTTTAGTACCGAAAGTAAGGCAACGTTTTGTTTGATATGGTGAACTTTAACACCTCGTTCTGATTTAGATAATCAAAAAATTAGCCAAAGCATGTACGAAATATGACAAATGGAAGTCGAAAAATGATCCACACTTGAAACCATGGCTGTATCCGGATCAGTTGACTGTTCCCCGATTGAATCCAGCTGATCTTGGAACATTCAATGCCCAAGAAACACTAACTGCATCGGCAGATACAAGCGAAGCAGCGATTGGAGAAAACGCTGTTCAAATCGATGATCTTGTTAAAGATGATTGAATACTTTGCTATTCAGCACATGCTAGGTGAAGGGTATTTAAGAAAAATTTCTTTTTTAAAATAAAAATTTCTACGGCGCCATAATGACAATCTTGTTCGAAGGAGAAAAATAAGAATAAAAACATCATATCAATGGGAAAAAAATCGAAATGGTAACAGATTTTATCAATAACATTCCTAGTTGTTGTCGGCGACAGAAATATTCGAAAAGAGAATCAAATGTCAGCTCGTAAAGTTCTCATTCTGTTTCTAATCGCGTTAATATTTCTCATCGCCTTGGTTGAGTTATCAATCGGGTTTTATTATGTTGATTCTGTTCAACTGTGTCCATTACAACCTGACATTGCGCTATTCTTGTCGATTGGCGGTGTATTTCTGGCGATTTTTTTTGCAGCTGCATTAGGTTTCATCTACTCTATAACTCCGGCGCGATTCAAAGCAGGCAAAGGACTAACAACAGCACAAATAAGTGCGAAAGGAAGTAGTGTGGGAATGCAGATGTTAATCGGTAAATGACCTCTCGTTTTCTTCGACATGAAGTCTAGTTTTCTACTTTAGGTGCAATTGCATTCATATTCGGTGCATGTGCATTTATATTTGTCGTACTTTTGAATACTCGTGTATATGGAAATATGAGGAAAGTTCAGTGGACGTCTCCAACCGGGTCAAATTATTGTTTATATGCAATCTCCATCTCCGCATTCGCCATGGTCATCGCGAATTATGTCGCTTTTGCATTGCTTCTCCTCGTTGCAGCAATTCTATTACTTGGAATTGGATTGTAAATATGCCAAATTCGAGAGATATTTTCTTTTCATCTTTTCAATGTACACTGACGAATAATTTGTTGAAAGAACTAATAGATCATTTGAATACATCTCTATTGACTGAAATGACATAATCTTTCAGATCAAATACGAACAAGTTCATTGGCTAGATATTTATTCAGTTGTTTCAACCAAATATTGACTATCCAGTTTTATCATTTACGAGTACATTGAGCTCTCGAAACTACTTACAGATCTTCTGTTGAGAAGGGAAAGTCAAATGAATATTTGAATTATCGAATGACGGAATGAATCTGGACTGTGAGCTTTTTGGCAGATTATTTGTTCTTGTTTTTCTGATTATTGACACGATGGACGAGTTATTCGTCGTACATCGACTGACGTGTGAAAAAGTTCTTTTGTGAGTATAAAATGTAGTTGATTTCTTTGTCAACAAGATGAAGTAGAAGAAAAAAGGTACGATGATGATTAAATGAAACTCTCTCAACATGAAGAAGTTGAAACATAAGTTTCACTTGTAGAGATGTGTTTATGTGCCGTTGGCAAGAGCGAACGCAAAACGATTAATGTAGGCGAATAAATGTACACGATAATAACAGTTAGAGAAGTAAAAAGAAAACGAGAAGGAGAAGAGAAAAGTTAAAGGCGATCATTGCATTTTTTGTCAAAAAAAAAAGAGGAAAGAGAAACTTACTTGTGTGTTCAAGTAATTAACCGATCGTTTTATCAATGGCTGCACCGTATCGTGAACGTGGTAAGACATTCATGTTTTGCCGTTTTTCATATAGTGTTCATTTAAAAATACAGAACCAGTACAATACTATCAACCGCTGCCGGCATCCACGCGTGTTGTATATCCAAACAACGGTTATCATTTGGACGATCAACAAATCAAAGCTCGTCAACAAATGGCTCATGTGTAAATATCACTCGAAAGGAGAAAAGAGGAGGGAGGGGGAGCATATTGAATGAAAGGTTGAGCAATCTATTTTCTTGTAGAAATGTTGTTGTCACTCAACCGGGTCGAAGTGTATGGGATTACGAACATCCGTGGTCAACCGAACTGTGCTCATGCTGCTCTGATTGCAAGCAATGTATATCCTGATGATTGGAATTAGCTCGATAATGATTTTTTTCTGTGATCATTCTAGGTGGTTTTGCCTTCTTCTGCTCGTGTTGTTTTGAGTACAAACTGCATAAACGTGCGGGAGAGAAAACATGCACATGTTTATGCCCGGGCTCGCGATTTGCATTGAGATCAAAGATTCGAACAGCATTTCGAATTCAAGTAAGTATTTTAATATTCCGAATTCGAGCTATTGTCGAAGTAAGAGGCGAACATTATAAATTTCAATCCTTACGTCAATAGAAGCCTTAGTTATCCAATGCCATAGCTGTCCTTTTATTAAATCCGGATGCATGTCTATATTCATGTATTTAGGGTGACCTAATCGATGATTGTTGTACTGCGACATGCTGTCCATGTTGCACGTCGATCCAATTGACTCGCGAATTACATTATCAAGGACTTTGAAAGCATTCGTTTTTTTTTCTTCAAAACAAAGTTTATTTCTGTGTACAAATTTGGCAAGCTGATGAAAAGTAATGTTTAAAGTTGATTGAGAAAAGTGTGGGCTCGAAAAAGTGTCTGTGACGTTTGCCGTTCAAAAAAAAGCTTCTTCAAATTCAGTTCAACACGTGTTAGTGTATGTTTACTAAATAAAGTTTCCAAAGCTGTCCACATGTAAACTTGGCAGAGTTCATTAGTTGATTTCAACGACTTAAACCATAGATATAATTGCAGGCAGTTGGCAACCAGAACTGCGGACGGACGCTAGAAAAGAAAAAAACAATGAGATAACCGTCGAATTCAGAATAATCAGTTACATTTTCGGGATTTTTGAATAGCATAGAATGAACAAGCCGTTCGATAATTGGCGGAGAGGCAAGAGAAGGTAGATTCTGATCGTCGTATGTATCCTGTCGGAGTGTACCATGAAAGAATGGGTTTGGTTGGGAGAAAAATTCATAACATAGCGTTCCACTTGCCCATAGATCAGATTTATCAAAATCCAAATAGTTTTTCGGTCCAGGTTCACTGTTCAGAATCTAAATAGATGGTTTAAATTGTTTTATGCAAGTCATACTTCTGTGGAATCCTACCTCCGGTGCCATCAATGCCAGATTTCCACCTTTACAGATTTCATCTGTTTGATGTGGAACTTTCAGATCGGGCGGCTGATAAAGTGCACAACCAAAATCAGCGACAACTAATTCACCAGTTGATTCACATATGAGTAGATTATCACTCTTTAAATCTCGATGAACAATCGACTGTTTGTGTAGATACACTAGAGCTTCTAGTAATTGAGCGAAAAGTGTTAAACGTTGATGCACATCTGGTTGATGTGAACGAATATATTCATTTAATGTCAAATCGTATCGTCTCATGACGATAAACAATGTTTTGTTTCGACCGTAACCATCGGGGGAAAGACGTGTTGGTATGGCCATTGGATAATGTTCATGCGCTTCGTTTAGCAATGGGAAGGAATCAACAAAACATGAGTACATTCGCACGATGTTCGGATGAGAAAAGTATTGTCGTAAAGGGATCAATTCTTTGTCCATCGCTTTTTTAATCACTTCAGCATTCGATCGAACTCCATAGTTGAACAACATTTTAATCGCGAGATTGAATCGACCAGCTATAACCGAAGAAATATTTGAACCAAACCTGGAAATGAAATGAATTTAACCTACCGGGTAAAATGTCTGAATTCGTACTGCAAGAATCAGTCATACAAGTGGATGTTTGACATTGAACTACGATGATACAATAGAATAGTGAAAACTATGAATGTAAATATATGGAAATACCTTCGGTGAACGATTCGCCATCAGTACTATTGGAAGAATGTTGTGAAAGAATCTCGATATCACTCTCATTTGATTGACTGTTCGATGAACGAAGTCGTGCTTCATACACAGCTGCGTTACAACCGCAGCCAATCAAACGACCTAGTTCATAATTGTCAAGTACTGTTTGATAATGTTTCTCATCTTCTTGACTAAACTGATCCATCATGGAACTTTTCGAAAGAAGATTACCGATCTGATGTAGGGTTTTATCGAAATGACACTGATCGTATGATGATTGCGGGAGAAGTGAATAGCCGAGCAGACCCAATAGAAGATGCGAACCCCTTGGCGCTGCAAAAGCGAATAAGGTTTAATAGATTTCCATAATGGAAACATACGAACCAGCAAAGAACAATCGACGTTTGATATCATCGAGAGCCAGTCTGAATGGGACTAAATTCGATGACACATTTTGTGCATTGGTCGGTGCGAGAAACGATCGATAGATCGATGGGAATAGATAAAATCGTGTTGGATGTTTCGTAAACTTCGATGTTTGGTGAATAGAAGAAGTAAAAATAGGTTTAGCTGGACGAGAGATTAATGTTCGACTCAATCGAACAATGAATGTCGCCGCTCCTCGAAATACCATTGTTTATCTAAAAAAAACGCAGATTAAATTTCAAAACTGACATAAAAAGTGAAAACAACAAAAGTTCTCAATGTTTATGATGTCTATGCGAAGATCGACTCTTGTCGGAGTGTCGATCATGCGTGGATCTATGTATAATTGGTGTATTATTTCTGTCTTTTTGTAAAATTTGAACAGTTCGATGATTATTCTGCGACGATTCTTCTGTTCGACGCTTCTTAATCAAGTGTCGAAGATCGAATTCGTCTGTATTGAGCTTAACTGTTATCGAAACAGGCCGTTCGTTTACGGGGGAAGAATGACGGCGTTCTTCTTTCTTCTGTGGTTTAGTGTCCTTTGTCGAAGATTTATGATGGTTTTGATCGTTGCGCGTTGATGATTTTCTTGGTGGTGGCGGTGGCAACGGTGTATGTGCGAATGAGTTTTCCGTAGGTTTATCTTCCTGATGCAAGAGTAGGTCATCGTCTTGAAATGGACAATCAAGAATTAACGTATCATCATTTGCTGTTGGAATGTCTTGCGGAAAACGTTCGTCGATATCACCTGTTGCTTGTTTTTCTTTGTTTTCGAAACGATAGTCTTTGTCGTGTCTATCAATTGAATCTGAACTGATCGATGATAGAGAGGAAGATGAAGATGATCGACTAATAGACGAGTAACTCGAACCAGAACGAGAAGAGTACGATTGTGACGGTGAACGAGACTCACGACGAATCGGAGAATGATCATGAGTATTCTATGAATGAAAGTCGATATAGATGGATTTTCAATTCCACTCCACAAAGAAAAACTAACTTTTCGCTTCCTGGAATTCAATGTTTTTAATGCTGCATTTCGTAATGCATCTAGATCATCATCATCGTCATCATCACTGTAGCTACGTTTCGTAGCTTTGATCGGATGATACGAATTGTAATGAGACGTTGAAGTCATTGCTTTTGAGTGAGTTTTATCAAAATAATTGTCCGTAGTAATGGGATAATATGATGACGTCTGCAACAAACGAACGCATGAGCATTTTTCTGAATAGGAGTATTTTTCAATATCTTACCATGTGGATTTCATGAGTATATTGCCGTCAGTTTCGTAAACGTTGATGACTACTAACAACAGGAAAAAAGAATTCAACATCGTTGATCGAAATCTCAACCAATCGTTGATATATGCCTCATTGATATCTCACGGTAGTCTATAGAACTCAACTGACGGTTAACGCCATCTGTCCAAAGGCGGGCTATACAGTAGTTAAAAGAAGAATCATGTCAATTCTACCTTCGTTATATAGTCGTCGATATGAAATCAGCGATAGATAGCTTTGGCCGTTCAGATTTAGACCAGTCAACGGATATATGAATTGCTGGATGATTATAGTGTATACGCTGCTCTTCGTCCTGTTTCGTTTAGACAATCATACTGATATGGCACAATAATATGTTTTTCTTTAAAAAACAAACATGGGTTAGTTTACGTGGTTTGCTACTCAACTGTAATTGTTGACCTGTCGAAGTGAGTCATCACTCTTTTTCTTTCTTTTTTTATCGTTACATAGAATGTTTGATAAGTTTTTCAAAATGTTTTCTGTCGATGACGACAACCAAATAATTCCAATACTGTTCAACATACAAAAGAAATTAGTCACATTTACGATCACGTAACAATTTATTATAAAAATCACACAATGATCTTCTTAAAATAACAAATCAAACTGAACGTTAGAATAAAGCATAGAAACTACAAGTATCTATTCAACATGCTCTCATATCAACGAATACAAAAACATGATTTCTTTAGATTGACAAACGAAACAAGGAAATCTGATCGACGAAAAGATAGAAACGATTTCGAGAACCAAAATGAACTTGAACAATAATATGTAAGACGAATGATAGAGAGATTCTTTACACTTTTTATTTCTTTCTCATAGATCAATGACATCGAATAATATGTTTTTAGAGGAACAATTCTTAATTCCTACATCAACACAAGCAGATTATGTCTATCAAAATCAACAACAGCAATATCATCGTGTTGAAATGATCATATCTCAAAATTGTAATGCTTCAATCACAAATACAAGTTCACGTGCTCATCCACATACACTAAATACTGAAGCAGTACATGTTGATCATAGTCAAGGACATGCAGTTGTTATACATCCTCGACAACAACATCAACGGTCAAGATCATTGACTAAAGTTTCGCTGAAACATCGATCATAAGGAACAGCTGAAATAGGCTTCTTTCATTCGATTTTAATCTTCATAGAATAATGAAATTGTTTGTTGATCAACTTAGAAACTCTGCTTCATCCGAAACTTCACAAGAAACTATGTACACAACAAGCGCCAGCAAAAGCTGAAATTATTTGAACAATAAAATATGTTTTGACACATCAAAATCTTGATGCAGACGGCGAAATTGTCACTGACTTTGTTCAAGTAAATGTGTAAAAGATGGAGCATTTTTATGTTTGTTTTGATTATGGTGATGTTCTTCCATCGAGTACTGGTGGTGTAAATGTCATTTTTAATAGTGAGGAACGAGTTTTGTAAGAAGTAATCAGAAGAAATCGTCCATCACCGTCATCCTGCCAGCGTCCAGCTGTAGTAGCTAAGTGTGTTAATATTTTCTCTTTTTCTGTCAATGTCTATCATTTTCTTTCCTGTTTTAGACGATTTCGTATGAAAAAAATCAATTCTTCGTTAATTACTTTGTCTGTTTACATCATAATTTTTATGTATTTTCTTCTTCGCAATTCTCTCGCGAAATGTGTGTTTGCTTTTTCTCAAAATGTGAATTTATTCTTGTCGAAAAAGATGAAAAATAAATGAATGCAATCATAGGTCTACTTGAAATTAGAAAAGTTGCTACACTACAACAATATCGACTAATGTTTCATTAGGTAAACACATAGGCGGCGAAAGCTGGAGGTACGATGAGGCATTAGCCTTGCCAAAATTTGGCGTCTGAGGCTCAGCCTCACTAAATTTACGAATATGATATATTTTTGAGAATGATTTGTGCTTATTCTGTTCAATGAAGTCGGTGAAATTCATCGGTTCAATTTTTGTAATATTAAGAAATGCATTATCTAAAATTGTGTCGAACGAATTTATTCGTATAGTTATTTAAACGTCTAGCTTTCTAATATTTTCGATGGCTCGGTACAATGATTGAAGTGTAGGGTATTTTAAGTATTAATATATCTGTTTTGCTAAAAATTGATCTCATGTGTATATAAATATAAAACAGATGATAAGTGCTTCCTTTCAATCATATCCAAAAATTAATAATTTACATAATAAACAGTTAGGGCGTCGAAACAACGGGTTGGATTAGTTTAAGAGTATTTCGCGAGAAAAACCAATACTACGTCAACATCTACATCGGCAGGAGAAACTCCCTGAACTGATTTAATTCATCGTCCCAGAAATTCTCCAGAGGAAATTTCTGGAACAGCGGCTTTTAATCAAGTTATTTCTCTTGTTAAGGGATTAAATTTATCGAGTGCAAATAATTGAATAAGAATTTGTAATGAATCTTAAAATGAACATGAAATCTTCGATAATTCTCACAGATCATCAAATGAAAAAACATAAATAGGGTTTGGTTCAGCACTAATGCGAAATGGATGATTTCCATACTTTTTTTGGAAAATTTGTCTTTCTCTCGAAATATACAAGTACCACTAAGCAAGAGCAAAAAAATGAAGGAATCACTTTTTCATTAGAAAATCAATACTTTAAGAGCAGCTTATTGAACATAATTGACTTCGATTGTCTCATGGTGATATTTTAAAAAGCTACATTTGAGCCTCGCCAGATTTTGACATGTTCCACTGTCCTTGGGTAAAGGTGCATATGATTGAAGGCATTGATATACTTTTTCTTCGTATACAACACGTTCACCAGCAGCATTTGATTTATTTGGTTGTTAAGGAACAACATTATCAATAGATACTTGTGTAGTTGATTTACTTGTAGCAGTTGAAGGTGGGACATTTGAAAACATAACTCATCTCACTATTCTCTGCTTTAGAACTGCAATCTGTTGTACACCTTGTGTAGAGACAATGCATTATGAATAGCATAATAATAAGATAGTAAGGTAAGAATTAGTTATATTTGACTTTTATACATTGAATGAAAAAGGACAGAAAAACAACGGCAATCATACAATTAAACAATGATTATATCGATTTAACATAGAATGCATCCTATAATAACAAAAAAAACAGCAAACGAGAAGATTTTAATGAAGATTTTGTGTCGTATCATATTAGAGTAGATTTTGCCACGACATAGATTTCTGATCGATTTCATCAGTTGGTTCATGGTCAATTTCTTCGGTAGGTTCATCGTCGACTTCTTCGGTTGACTCATCGTCGATTTCGATCGGTTTACGACCAGAAATCTTAGAATTTATAAACAAGGGAGATTGAGACTTTCGATGTTCCGCTAAAAAAAAGAGCATGCTACCGGCGAGCAAGATACTAGTAAGAGTAAGAGCGTCCAACGCAGAATTATGAAAACAACTATCGTAACGAATTTTATCCTTTATAACCACCACAGCAAACGTATAGCTCATCCATAAAACACAAAGAGAAGAACGGCTGTACTTTCCACATAGCATCAAAAATAATTGGATAATACAAAGATTCATTGCCATCAATATCGGTACTAAAATTCGGATATACATAAGTGAGTTGTCAGTGAGACAGTATTTCAAAATCTGATCATTGTCTGTTTGTATGACAGAACAACGGAGTTCTTCATAAGGAATTCCACATACGGGAGTAATGTGATTAACTATTGAATTGTTGAAACGTGAATCAAACACTAAGCGTTGAAGTTTGTAAACATTAAATATAAGAATGCATGATCCACCTATAATAAAGTAAAGAAGAACGGAGACCCATAATGCCCAACAATCAGCTCTCTTCAGGTAACTGTAATTAATTTTCATATTGAGCTTTGATTGATCGTTCTTAATGGTAATGAAATAGAAATTGACTGCAGTAAAATAATGTAGTCCAGTCTAAAATAAAGGAAGAGATATTGTATACAAGAAAAAGTACATTGTAAAAAAAGTATTGGAATAGATGAATAAAACTTAGCATTAGATTCGGAGTTATAAAAGGAAAATTCAAGCTGAAATGACATTACCAACCGATAGATGCAATTAAAAGTAAAATGAAGAAAGAGTCATTTTTGGATCGAATATTCATATTCATAAAATCAAATGTTGCAGAGAAGAAAAGTTGAGGATGGAAACTAGAATTTCTTTGTCAAATATGGAAATGCATGCATTTTGATAGAGTAGTAGACAATGCATATACTTTCAATTGAGATTAATCTAGTTGTTTTTGAAAACCATCCATAGAATATGCTGTTCTATCTTCATCCAAATTTCGACAATAAACACTATATTAGAAATATAATTTAGAAAAGCTTACATGTCTCAATGGATAGAAACAGAGAAACGGAAATAAATGAGTTCATTGTACTTCATATTAGCAGGCAGCTGATTTATTCTGATGTGTTAAATGTACAAAAGTATCTGTTAGAGACATAAGATGACTTGTACAAGGCTATGAGGATCGTTGTACAACGATACATAGGAAACAGTTTAGATTGAATGAAAAAGCGATGATTTATAAGGAGATATCAACATGTGCTTCCGTTTTTTCGCAATGTAATGTAAGCATATAAGCGAACTATTACAATCACAACCAAAAACATTATATTTGTAGGATATAAAGCTAAAACATTTGGAGAATAAAATGATGTCAAAAGGAACACATAGAATAGAAACAAAGAAATTCTTCTTCCTGCTATTCCTCTCCCAAATAGCTATTGGCTCTCTTTGGATAGGATAATGTATTAGCAAATGAGGACATACCATATTAAAGCAAGCAAGCACGCGTGCGTGTCCATCATTAGGACAGGAGATGTCGCAAACGATAAAGATTGATATGCCGGGAATATCCGTGTAATTATAAAAAAGTAGCGATGAGCAAAAAAGATAAACTCAATATATATTTGTGACACAAATCTAATAAAACAATCAAGAGCAAACTTTCAAATTCATTAATCTGTAAAGCCTGAAGGTAGAAAAATAAAACTCCGCATATAATATGATATCTCTATTCTTTTGTGTTATTTCATTGGAATTGATATATGGTTAGTTGCACCAGAAATCTCCCACGATTACAATGACCCTCTGCGATCAGGCTGAAACTTCCAGCATTTGGATCTCTCGTCATATACACATATGCATATATGACGAATTTTCTGCTCTTTTCTTCTTCATTTCAAATGATGGATTTATCCTTTTCCATCTCAGTCATCTGGTAAATTTCCACAGAGTTATGTCAAGGGATCAGTTGATCACTATATAAACTCGGTTTTACAGTTAAATAAATAGATATAGGACCTTGTTCTCATACAAGAAAATAACACCGTCACAACGTCTTCATCCACATACACCAAATACTGAACCAGTACATGTTGATCTTAGTAAAGGACATGCAGTTGTCATACATCCTCGACAACAACATCAACGGTCAAGATCATTGACTAAAGTTTCGCTGAAACATCGATCATAAGGAACAGCTGAAATAGGCTTCTTTCATTCGATTTTAATCTTCATAGAATAATGAAATTGTTTGTTGATCAACTTAGAAACTCTGCTTCATCCGAAACTTCACAAGAAACTATGTACACAACAAGCGCCAGCAAAAGCTGAAATTATTTGAACAATAAAATATGTTTTGACACATCAAAATCTTGATGCAGACGGCGAAATTGTCACTGACTTTGTTCAAGTAAATGTGTAAAAGATGGAGCATTTTTATGTTTGTTTTGATTATGGTGATGTTCTTCCATCGAGTACTGGTGGTGTAAATGTCATTTTTAATAGTGAGGAACGAGTTTTGTAAGAAGTAATCAGAAGAAATCGTCCATCACCGTCATCCTGCCAGCGTCCAGCTGTAGTAGCTAAGTGTGTTAATATTTTCTCTTTTTCTGTCAATGTCTATCATTTTCTTTCCTGTTTTAGACGATTTCGTATGTAAAAAATCAATTCTTCGTTAATTACTTTGTCTGTTTACATCATAATTTTTATGTATTTTCTTCTTCGCAATTCTCTCGCGAAATGTGTGTTTGCTTTTTCTCAAAATGTGAATTTATTCTT